CAACCTAATCGGACATCACAAGCTGCACATCGCTAGAGGCATTGGGATACTCGTCTTTAGACTAAACGGCCAGCTACTTACACAAGCTTGTTAAAGAGTGGGGGAAGAAACTAGCAATAGGGTGGGGGGCTCTTTGTCTCTTTGATTGAAGAACAGCATATAGAGCTTTGGCTCTTCACTCATCCGCCACCATGAAGACTTCACGGCTCTCCCTCCTTCTGAGGCAATCTACATCAGCCCATCTGCGGCTGCAGTCAGCGCACCGTCTGCAGCGACGCAGTCTGAGCGCTGCCGCAGGCTCAAATGCCATCCGTGACCTCCTCAAGGTGTCCCCGGAGGTGTCCGATGCCATTGCAAACAACAAGCCCGTTGTTGCTCTGGAGTCGACCATTTACACCCATGGAGCCCTAGGAAAGGATCTGGCACGGGAGCATGAGGACCTGGTCAGGAGCACTGGCGGCATCCCGGCTATTATTGCCATTGTAGATGGCGTGCCGAGAGTGGGTGTTTCGACAGATGAGATTGTTCGGATGATTGAGGAAGAGGGCACTTCCAAGGCTTCACGAAGAGATATTGCCTACTTGGTTGGCATGGTAAGTCTAAGTCCTTTACGCCTTTCACAAGATACAGTCTTTGCTGACCACTTCACCAGGGCCTCGCAGGACGCAAGATGCACGGCGGTACAACCATCGCCGGCACTATGCTCTTGGCTCGGCTAGCCGGTATCCGAGTCTTTGGAACCGGTGGTCTTGGTGGTGTGCACCGCGGCGGCGAAAACTCGTTGGACATCTCTGCCGACCTCACGGAGCTGGGAAGGACACGAGTTGCCGTCATCAGCAGCGGCTGCAAGGGCTTCTTGGATATCCCCCGCACATTGGAATATCTTGAGACCCAGGGAGCCCTGGTATCGACCTTTGCTGATGGACGCACCGGCAAGATTGACTTCCCGGCCTTCTGGGCAAGGGATAGTGGCGTCAAGAGCCCGTCCGTAGTCTACACCGAAAAGGAGGCCGCCGCCATCATTCTGGCTCAGGAGAAGCTCGGTATCGAGTCGGGCATGCTCTTTGCCAATCCCATCCCCGAGGAGTTTGGCGTTCCCTCGCAGGAGATGCAGGATCACATTGAACTGGCCGTAGCGGAGGCGAACGAAAAGGGCTTCACGGGCAGCGCCAACACCCCCTACGTCCTGCAGAGGCTCAAGGAGCTCACCGGCGAGAGGGCAGTCATTGCCAACAAGCAACTGGTCCGTTCCAACATTGTTAGAGCGACGAACATCGCGGTGGAGCTGTCGCGCCTGCTGAGCCAGGGAACGAGCTCGTAAGTTTTATTTTAGGGGGCATAGTTTGTATTTGTACTAGTATTTTACGAGGATGGCTCTAATCGGTAGATAGAAGTTCATCAGATCATAATGTGGCGTTTACATCAAAGACCGAGAATAAACCTTTGGCTCCGCTGAGAGCAGATTCTAAAGCTGATATCCTTGTCGCTGGGTCGGTTGCCGTCGACCTTAGTTGTGATTACTCCAGTCTCAAGGGTAGCGATGGCCAGCCTCAACCTCATACGTCTAATCCTGCCAGTATAACCCAGTCGATCGGTGGTGTGGGACACAATGTTGCCCTAGCTGCCTATCGAGCAAGTAGACAGGCTCAAGTCAAGTTCAGTAGCATGGTGGGCGATGATATGTAGGCAGGCTCCCGCGTCTACAAAATACTTATAATGATTCCGTTGCTAACACTTATATAGTGCGGGCGCAACAGTTCTATCAGCTTTGGAAGCCTCAGGACTCGATTCCACGTATGTCAAGAAACTTGACCAGACGGAGCATCCTGGAAGTCGAACCGCTCAATATGTCGCCATCAACGACAGCAGCAAGAACCTCGTCATGGCCATGGCAGACATGGGCATTTTCACACAACACTTGTTCCCCGAAGACTGGAAATCAACCATCAAGGCCACAGATCCCAAGTGGCTTGTGGTGGATGGCAACTGGAGCCCCAAGGGCATCAGATCGTGGATTCATTCGGCCAATGAGCACGGAAGCAAGGTCGCCTTCGAACCGGTCTCGGTGGAAAAGTCCAAGAGCCTCTTTGGCCCCCAGCGCGGAGTGCCAACCCTTGGCGTCTACCCCAACCAAAGCGTCGACCTCTCATCGCCCAACATCTACGAGCTCTCGGCTATGTACTCTGTAGCCAAGGATAACGGCTATCTAGACAGCCCGGATTGGTTCGAGGTTATCGATTCCTTTGGCATGCGTGGAGCCAGAGACCGGTTCGTCCGTCTCACATCAGTTGAGCTGACAGATGCCGGTGTACCTGTGCAGTCTATCCAATTGCTTCCCTACATCCCGACATTAATCACAAAGCTTGGATCCAAGGGCGTCCTGCTGACGACTATTCTTGGGAAAGACGACCCTCGGCTTCGGGACCGAGAGTCTGACGAATACATCCTAACCCGATCATTTGATGGAAACCCTGCAATTGGCGGTATCTACATGCGACTATTCCCTCCGGTCGAGCAAGTGGAAAACATCGTTTCCGTCAATGGCGTTGGCGATACGTTCCTTGGTGTCATGGTGTCGGGGCTTGCTCAGGGAGGAAGAGTGGACAAGCTGGTGGATGTTGCTCAGCGAGGCGCTGTGTACACGCTGAAATGCGCAGAGTCTGTGAGCAAAGATGTTTCAAAATTGGAGAGCGAACTGGGAAAGGTTGCATTGCTGAAGTAGACGGATTTTATTCAGCGACGGCATAATGATAATGATGTAAATAAACATGAAATTAAAGAAACATGCTGGTTGCATGTAATTGATGTGATATTCAGCCTCGTCTGGGAAGAGGTTGTGATGGCCCCGCCGCCCCACTTAGGCCAGCTTTGGTTCTGCAAGGCTGAGCTCCAGACCCAGAAAAAAATATTCAGAAAAAAGATTCCCATTGAAATTTTGCAGGGCAAACCAATCAACCGCTGCTCAGTACTCCCACATAGCCGCACAGCTCAGTAAACATGGCCCAGCCTCAGGATCCCGATTTCTCAGAGGACGAACTGTCCGAAAGCCCCTTGTCATCGGAAATTGACTCTGACGTCGAATTCACAAGAAAGAAGAAGCCGGTGATTGCGCTGCAGGAGAAGGACTCTGACGAGGAAGACTTGGAACGACTGGTTTTCGGTAGCAAGGTCAGCTTTGGAGAGAGTCTCTTTAAGAACAATGGGTTGTTTGGAACGTCAGAGGAAAAGGAGGGAAAAGAATTGGAATTGGCGGATGCGGACACGGGCGGGCTGGAAGATGTCGACGATGTCGATTTGTTCATGATTGATACCGCCCCGAGCGGCGCAGTCCCTCACGCTCCAGCTGCTTCTGCTGCGAAGAAGTCAGAACAGGGCGATCCGGCCGCTTGGGAGGACAGCGATGACGAACGACTGGGCATTTCCCTTGCGAACCATACACGACTGCGAAAATTGCGACTTACCGAGGCCGAGGACATTGTGAGCGGCACTGAGTACAGCAGAAGACTCCGACAGCGATATCTTCAACTCCATCCTGCCCCTGCGTGGGCCAAGGAGGCAGAGGGACGCCCTACAAAGAGACGGCGGCGCTCGTCTGCTTCCTCTGGCTCTTCGGAGGAGAGCGGCAACGAGTCCGATGGCGATGTGTCTGCCCAGCCTCTGGAAGAGTTCCTACGAGATGTCAAGAGCCTGTCTGGAGCGGGCGGCCCCAAGAAGCGACGGCTCAGGCCAGAGATTATCGACATCCAGAGGACACGAGAGATTTCGGACAAGCACCTTGCGCCTGTGGAGTGCCTGTCTTTCCACCCCGAGTTCCCGGTCCTGCTGTCGGCCAGCACCGCATCGGTGCTGTATCTACATCACATCGCCCCCGACGCCCACCCGGTGCCGAACCCCCGGTTAACATCCGTGCAAGTCAAAGGCGTCGACATTCGAAAAGCAGAGTTCTTGTACCCCGAAGGCGACAAGATCTTCATCGGTGGACGGAGGAAATACTTTCACCACTGGGACCTCAAATCTGGCGTCGTGCAGAAGACGGCGCAGATTCTGGGCCACCGCCTGGAGCACAAGACGATGGAACGGTTCAAGCTGAGCCCCTGCGGAAGGTACATGGCCATTATCGCATCGACCCGCAAAGGTGGCGGCATCGTCAACATTCTCAGCGTCAGCTCACTGCAGTGGATTGCCGCTGCTAGACTGTCCAGCAGAAACGGCATCTCAGACTTTGCGTGGTGGAGCACTGGAAATGGCATGACCATCTTGGGAAAAGACGGCCAAGTCGGCGAGTACAGCGTGGAGAGCAGAAGCTTCGTTGGCCTCTGGCGCGACGACGGTTGTATCGGCGGCATCGTCATTGCTCTCGGTGGTCACCAGGGCCCTGAGCCGATTGGTGACGACCGCTGGGTGGCCATCGGCTCCAACACGGGCATCACCAACATCTACGACCGAACAGAGCTTCTCACCCTGGATGCCGACAAAAACATTGTCATCAAGGAGACGCCGTCCCCTACACGTGTGTTTGAGCAGATTGTCACGCCCATCACCGTGCTCACATTCTCCCCCGACGGCCAGCTTCTCGCGTTCGGCAGCAGGGCCGCAAAGGATGCTCTGAGACTGGCGCACCTTCCGAGCTGCACAGTCTACAGGAATTGGCCGACGGCGCAGACGCCGCTGGGGAGAATAACGACGGTGGCGTTTGGTAAGGAGAGCAGCTTGTTGGCGGTGGGTAATGATACGGGTAAAATTAGACTGTGGGAGATTAGGAATTAGACATGGGTTGTTGTGAATACAAAATTCTGAGCGGATTGCTTGTTTTTTATTCGAGTTGCTATCATGCCTGAATCCCTTGCCCTCTGTGAACTCGTACCGGTTTTTTCAATGTCTTTAAAGGGTATTGTTCCTTTTTTTCCTCACGCCTGATTCGTGAAAACGCCTTTAGCTCTCTCTTCCCATGTCATAGTAAACGCCCTTTGGTTTAAATATGGTCTTAAAATGAAATCCCTTCATACAAGCTCTGCATCGCCATCCTCGACAAGAGCTTTGGCGCTTGACCACCTCATAATGAGAACATCTCCGTTTGCTGCCGGGAGAATGGTGTCGACATCCGTTCCCCTGCCGAAAACATCCTTCTCCCGTAGAAGACGAACGAAAACTGCAGTGTCCAAGTCCGGGGAATCAATCATGCTGACATTGCCAGCCGTGTCGTTGAGGTTCTGAAGACGCTGTGGAAAAGATGAGAGAAAGGACGAGAGGTAGTGGTTATGAAGAAGGGCTTGGTGTCTCGTTGCGTAGGCTAGTTCTGTGGGAGAGAGGCGTTGTCTTAATTCTTCGGTTGAGAGGTAGTGGAGAGTGTGTTTATCGATCTGAAAAGAAGCATTAGATGTGTGAGATTCTTGCTGTGTATGAACCCAGCCTGGTTGGATGGTTGAGATTGACTTACTTTGGCTATTCGTGTTCTCAAATAACTTCGTACTAGAAACTTGTATCGTTCAAGCTCAGTCTGGATGACGATGAGAGCAAAATTGGTCTTGGGGTCCATGTCGCCGGTCATGTCCTCGATCTTTTCAATCTGAGATTTGATCTTGGAGTTGACTCGCTCAAACAGGCCATCAGCAGGCCAACTAGAGTGAAAAACGATATGATCAGCAAACAACAACGGCCGTCTTTAAGATTACATGTATTCCCAGTTCAAAAACACATGCATGATGCCGAATATCTAAGTAGGTAGATACTCACTTGAGCAGCTCCGGCGCTGATCTCTCGGCGACCCAAAGGCGCGTCAGGGCCTGCAAGTCTCGAGTCTCGAGCGGGATGCCGTGAGAGGCGGGATCAACCTCTCGGAGAATATCATCGATATCCATGGCGGATGATGTTCCGGGGAGTCCTTGGATCTCGGACCTCGGGGTATCAATCTCAAAGGACGGTCCCCAAAGTGAAGCCAGCGCTCCGGCCCTTGATTGAAACTTCAGGTTGGAGCACAGGGCTCTGTGGTGGGGTTCTGGTCTGCCTTAGTTCAGTCTACATGTCCAGATTTGGGCTATATATGGTATGTGGAGGTACCGAGTACATATGTTGGGGTAGACGCGAGGTCGCTGTCAGCGGGCGCTGCAGGGCTGCTATAGCGGGTTCAATCTAGCGAACTTATAGCGGTTCTGAGCTCTGAGCCTTCAAGTTTATGTACGGGAGGTCAATTTGATGAAAGATCTCACATGTCATACTCCCTGCATAAGAAAGAATGAACAAATTATCAACAGACGCTCTAATGGCCTGTTGTCGGTGCAAACACGGTGGAACGGAATCAATTGCTAAAATCGCCAATTGCCAATTGAGCAAAGCCTAATGTGGCAACTCGATACTAATCTCAAGCAGTACTGGTATGATGCACCTCCAAAGCTGAATTGGGTTTACCACCCAATCCCTGGGCCGAGGCAAGTCTCCATCTCTACCAGGTGGTGCCTGAATCTGTATAAAGCAGTGACACCCCAATCCTGGTGTAAAACGGCTTTCATTGCCATGAGACTATCACTTTAGCAATTGACCAAAAGAACGGTTCATTTTCTTGCTTTGTTCGTTATATACATTTACTAGATTCATAATTCATCTTTCATAAAAGCAACAATGGCAGACGAAGATGGCGATGGCCCCCAGCCTTATGCTGCGTACCTGCGGGCCATTCTCCAAAAGGGCCTTTTGGCCAATGAGCTGCCCATCGTGACAACAAACCCAAACTCTCTCGAAGAGCAGGCCAAGCAGAAGATGACCAAAGCGGGCTTCGATTACATCAAAGGCGGAGCTGGCGAGGCTGCAACAATGGATGCCAATCGCCTTGCTTTCCGCCAGTGGAAGATTATTCCTCGTGTCTTGAAGCCTACGACTCCGCGTGATCTGAGTGTCACCATCTTTGGCCAGAAGTTCGGTATGTGAAAAGAAATAATCATTAGTTTTCACCCCTTCCCAGCATTTCTTGTAAACGGAACAAACACAAGCTAACCGGTTGGCAAAGACGTTCCCATTCTCATGGCGCCTGTCGGTGTCAACTCATTGTTCCACCCGGACAAAGAGATTGGAGTTGCCCAGGCCTGTGCCGAACTACGTGTCCCCTTTACCTTGAGCACAGCTGCTGAATCTACGTTTGAGGAAATTGCGGCTGCGGCTCCTGAATCGCCAAAGTGGTTTCAATTATATTGGCCCAATGACGAAGAGATCACAGCCTCGCTCCTCAAGAGGGCCAAGGAGAATGGCTTCACAGCGCTCGTCGTGACTCTAGATACTTGGACACTTGCTTGGAGGCCATATGACCTTGATACAGCCAATGTCCCCTTCCTCCTCGGTCAAGGAGACCGAATCGGCTTCTCTGATCCTGTCTTTAGACGCAAGTTTGCCGAGATGAGCGATGGTGGAACTCCCGAGGAAAACATGCTGCAGGCAGCTATGTATTGGATTGGAGAGACTTACTCAGGAACATCCCGTTCTTGGGAAGATCTCAAGATCTTGAGAAAGCACTGGGATGGACCCATCATCCTAAAGGGCATTCTTAGTGTTGAAGACGCTGAGCTGGCTGTTGAGCACGGCATGGACGGCATCATTGTTAGTAATCACGGTGGCCGACAAATTGACGGTGCCATAGCAACTTTGGACGCCCTCCCGGAAATTGTCGATGCTGTCGGCAGCAAGATTACCATTATGATGGACTCTGGTATTCGCACCGGCGCTGACGTTGTCAAGGCTCTGGCTCTTGGAGCCAAAGCCGTCTTTGTTGGGCGACCTGTGGTTTATGGACTGGGTATAAATGGAAAAGAGGGTGCCGAGGCGGTGTTGGCCGGATTACTGGCTGATCTTGACTTGACCATGGGATTTGCTGGAGTCAAGAACATTGCGGAAATAAAGAAATCAATGCTGCGAAAGATTCAACACTCTGGAGATGTCAAGTCAAATCTTTGAAGAATTCTATCTATACAACAGTGCAGTACAAGCGGGCTTATGGCTCAAGCATATAGACGATTCATAACAGTCTACATGTATCCATTATGACTGATGATAGAATTGTACATATATATTGAAATATCAGCGTTCTCACATATTACACGCTGAGTTTCTTTCCTATGCCACACACAACAGAGAAGTTGCAAAATTTACCATTATGGCTTCCAATTCTTAGCCAAGTGCTGCACTTAGAATCTAGTGGGTACCAGCCAAGAAAAGCACTACTCTTGTTTTTTTCACAAACTCAGTTGTCTGCTTCCTTCCAGAAGGTGCAGATCCATTAGCCTTTGTATAAGCCCGATTGAGAATGCAAGACGAGGCAAAGACGAGCATCCCGGTAAGAGAGTGAAGAAGCAACTGCTGGGGTGTATTGAGGACTTCAAGCAGAGGGTATGGATACCTTCAAAAGCTCCATGTCAGCTTCGCACCACTTATGAGAACTAGCAACAAACGTACGATGCATCTATTTCTACTGTGGCAATAGTCAGCCCAACATCGATACCCATAAGCAAAGGCAGCACTGAGAGCCGCAAGCCCAGAGGTGGATAATGTCCAAGGCGGGCTAAAGAGAATGTAATCCAAGCTTTGAAAGATTGCCGGCGCAAGATGGAAGCCCAAGTTAAGAAGTAAAGGAAGCTTGAAACCAGCCTGGACTATGAGGCTGCGCCCCATGGCAACGATTCCCCAGTATAAAATGGTAACGGTGACCTCGAGAGGCGCGCCCAAGACGGATAGTGTGTTCTTAATCTTGAATATGGTTGAGCTTGAAGTAATGTCGGCCAGGGCTCCCAAGGCGAAAGAGATTGTGGACAATCCCAGACCGATGTTGGTGATGTACTGGAAGTGCCATCCAAAGCCATTTGTTCGTGGATATTTCCAGCGTGTCAGACAGTAGAGGCAATAGGCGAAATCAGCGGTGCCGAGTAAGTGAAAGAGGAGAGACAGTCTGCGAGATGGAGATGAGAATCGCTGGACCGGATGGCGAGCCATTGCGTTGTGACTGAAAAGCAGTGATAAATATTCTGATGATATTGGTTGTTAATTGAGTTGAAATCAGTGTTGTAGAATCTGGGAAGAGTGCTTTACTTACATCGATGATCTGAGCAGTGGAGGATTTTAATCCCCCGGCCTAGAACAAGCATATATAAGATACATATTAGTACCTATATATATATGCCAAGGATGCTTACTGTGAGCAGCATTTTAGTAAACCTTATTGATCCGAGCCATTGCTATAGATCTGATTTGTCTTCTTTATTACAGTGAAGACACTCCTTGAACCTAGAGAGAGTTGCAAGAGTGGAAACAGTGGAAACAACCAAGCACTTGTATAGTATAATCAGATGACTTTTCCGACTCCTTCCCGAGGCTTAATTTCAAAATTGAGGATTTAATGGAATCATTTTATATAAAAAAATTTCAGGCGTTTCTTGAGAAATCAAGAGTGGCATTTCTCGTCTTCATGCTTGAATCACCCTCGTTAGGAAACAAGTACATGTAAAGTGCATGATGTCTCCTAGGTAGTGTCCAACCACTCCTCCTATGGGTAGGATATGGATCATTGAATAAAATCCAATTATTCATATTCAATAAATGATACTGAAATATCGTATAGATTTAATACATGTAAACTCCTTCGGCGATATCACAGCGCTCTTGTGGACAGACAGTGTGAAATACAGTGCGGATCAGTACCAGCATCCATCCGAAAATGCGATTTACAAGGCTGCAGAGCTTACAGCAATACTCAAAGCTAATTCGCCCACTCCATCGCAGCTTTCCAACACGCTTTCAGCCTTCCCAAACCGCGACAGGCCATTGCTCCAGACAGCATTGAGCATTTGACTCTCGGGGAATTTCCAGATCATCTCGGATTATTGGCGACTATGGCGGATTCTGCAGCTGAAGACGACAACCGCTCGCAGAAACGCAGTCATGCAGAGTATGCAGAGCAAGACGGCTCGGGTAAGGGCACTTCTACCCTCTGGATTCAATCATCGTACGCGAGGCTAATGAACGTGATTTTCCTCTTGATAGACTCCTCGTCAGATGACGACATGGGACCGCAGCTCCCCACCGAGGCCCCAAAGAAGAAGCGCCGCGTCTTGCCTTACGAAAAGCTATACATCTCTGCACTGCCAAAGTCTGCCCGATATTCGAAATCGCTGATGCACAAGGAGCAGGTGCTCTTTGCTACGTGGACACCCTTGACCGAGTTCCTCATTACATCGTCTACTGATGGCGTTGTAAAATTCTGGAAGAAGATTGGACAGGGTATCGAGTTTGTCAAGCAATTCAAAGCACACAATGGCACCATCACCTCTGTCTCGGTGAGTCAAGACGGGCGAAGCTTTGCGACTGCTGGCGACGACGAAACCATTAAGATTTTCGACGTCTTCACCTTTGACTTGCTTTCTATGATCACCTTGAAGTATGTTCCCAAGTGCGTTTGCTGGGTTCACAAAAAGGGGGCGTCTTTTCCTCTTTTGGCTGTGTCGGAGGAGGGTAAGCCGTTGATACACATCTACGACGGTCGAGGCGAGCAGGAAGATGCGATCCACACGATAAAGGGCCTGCACAGAAGTCCAGTTCATCTTATGGCGTTTAATGACGAATACGATTGCGTTGTTTCGGCAGATGAGAACGGCATGGTCGAATACTGGCAGCCTAGCGGAACCTACGAGAAACCCAGCAACGTCTTCGAATACAAAAGCTCGACGAACCTATTTGACTTCAAGAAGGCTAAATCCGTGCCGACATGCCTTACAATATCACCCAACGGGAAGAGCCTTGCAGCATTTTCATTGCCAGACCGGAAAATTCGCATCTTTGACTTTGCGACGGCCAAGCTGCATAGAACCTATGACGAATCGCTCCAAGTCGCGGAGGATATGCAACGAGCGGGTACAGCAGCACAGAAGCTGGATAATGTGGAATTTGGTCGGCGGTTGGCTCAGGAGCGGGAGATTGAGTCCCAGGCCATGAGAAGCAGGTCAAACGTCATCTTTGACGAGTCGGGAAACTTTATCCTCTACGGTTCAATGGTGGGAATCAAAGTCCTCAACACGTATACGAATCAGGTTGTCAAGGTCTACGGCAAAGATGAAAACTTTCGCGCCGTGAATCTGGGCATGTACCAAGGACAGCCTCAGAAGAAGGGCATCGTGTCGGTCGAGATGGGTGCTTCGAGCAACCCGCTTTTGCAGGAGTCAGAAGCTCGCGATCCGATTCTGGTCGCCACCGGCGTCGGCAAAGTTCGATTCTACATGTTTACGAATGATGAGATATCGAAGTCGACGCGAGACGTCCAAAACGAGAAGCCTACTGTGTTGGGAGGCAAGGACAAGGCACAGGCAGCCAAAAAGGTCGAGAGTGGCACCGGTGCCATACTACACACTACATATGGCGATATCCATATCCGCCTCTTCCCCGATGCTGCGCCCAAGGCGGTGGAGAATTTTGTCACACACGCAAAGCGCGGCTACTACAACAACACAATATTCCACCGTGTGATTAAAAAATTCATGATTCAAGGCGGCGACCCCCTTGGCGATGGCACTGGTGGCGAGAGTATTTGGGGGCGCGACTTTGAGGATGAGTTTAGCAGCCTGAAACACGACAAGCCTTACACGGTGAGCATGGCGAATGCAGGTCCTAATACCAATGCCAGCCAGTTTTTCATCACCACTGAGAAGACTGTGAGTATTTTACCAAGAACGTCATTTGATGAGAAAGAGATAAGAATGCTGACTCTGTATTGCGCATAGCCTTGGCTGGATGGAAAGCACACTATTTTCGGACGTGCGACACAGGGACTGGATGTGATTCATAAGATTGAGAATACGAGAGCACACAAGGAGAGGCCAGAGGAGGATATCAAGATTCTCAACATTGATGTCATGTAGACTTGCAACTTGCCAGGTGTTGGAGCAAGCGGCCATAATGCTTCTTTTTTTTTTTTTTTTTTTTTGGGTTTGATTTGCCATAGCATGAACGATATCACACAATTGTTGTACAGCGGTGGAGAGAGTTCCATGACTGATAAGGTGAGAGGTAGATGAGAGGCAATGTTGCATCGTTGGACATTAATACATCTGTCCTCACTCTACGAATATTTTGAACAATATGAACCAGCTCTTGTCCTCTCTGTCTTACGAAGACAGTAGGGCGAGAATGTGTCCCAAGGGCGTAAGGCTGCCCACCCCTGTCATGTCAATTGTCAATCACAAGCCAATCACACGGTTCCAATTCTCCACGTCAAACGACAAGCTCGCACAAAGCACCGACGTCGGACCAGCAGAGCTAGAGTGAGTAATTCAGGGCTGGATTTTAGTGGGAGCGACAGCCGCTGCCGGGGACGACAGTCATTTGCAATTGCATGTTTGCATGTGGGAGAGTGGGATAATACCAGCAGTGGCGTCTTAGTAGTTGCATGCATTTCAAGCGCACATGCAGGTGGCCTGAGCTGCTATTTTCGGCACTTTTAAGAACTGGAGCTCAATTTCTGATAGCTGTCAATATTCATTCATTTATATTCACATCTATACCCCAAGGAGACGAGGCAACAAGAGGCAGAGAATAGAAGCTTCTTCGAAGTAGTATACTTGCATCGGTTCCCAGTCAAGCCACCGCCAACGTTCTGTCAATCAGCTTCTATTGACGTCACACAACCCTCCATCTACAACCCTTTTTACTTTTTTTTCCCTCTTCTCCAATTTGGAGTACAGTAACCTCTCTATCTTTCTCTCCTCTTCTTCCCTCTCTCCAGCTTTTGGCTAAGAGTACGAATTCATCATGTCTACCGTATGTGTGCTCTAATTCTCAATTGGCGCTGTCCATCGCCAGCTCTTGGCCTTTGCGTGTGTAGTGAGTGACTCACCAGACCCTTCTAGTTCTACATCGAAAACAAAAATGTCGGCAACCAGGCCGACTCAGAAGATTGGCGCAGTAAGTCTATCCTCCTATAGGACTGTGCATAGAAATTCATATTTACTGAATCGATCGAATCTTAGTTCGCGGCTACAACCCTTTAACCCCTCCCGATCTGCTACAACACGAGATTCCCCAGACTGCGGAATCAAAAAAGACAGTCATCGAGGGTCGCAATGAGGCCGTAGCGATTGTCAATGGCAAGGACCCGAAGCACCGCCTTCTCATTGTCGTCGGCCCTTGCTCAATTCACGACCCTGCCGCTGCACTCGCTTACTGCGATCTGCTCCTCCAGGCTAAGGAGAAGCACAAAGATGAGCTGCTCATCGTCATGCGCTCGTACCTCGAGAAGCCTCGTACGACCGTCGGCTGGAAGGGTCTGATCAACGACCCAGATATCGACGGCAGCTTCAAGATTAACAAGGGCTTGAGATTGTCGCGCCAGCTCTTCGTCGACCTGACGAGCAAGGGCATGCCCATTGCCAGCGAGATGCTGGATACCATCTCTCCCCAGTTCTTGGCCGATCTTCTCAGCGTTGGCGCCATTGGTGCGCGTACAACGGAGAGCCAGCTGCATCGTGAGCTGGCAAGTGGACTGAGTTTCCCGGTTGGCTTCAAGAACGGCACCGATGGCTCACTCGGCGTCGCTATTGACGCTATGGGCGCCGTGAAGCACCCTCACCACTTCCTCTCGGTTACCAAGCCTGGTGTCGTCGCCATTGTTGGCACAACGGGTAATGATGACTGCTTCGTCATCCTGCGTGGTGGCACCAAGGGTACCAACTATGATCCTGAGAGCATCGCCGAGGCCAAGGCTTCTCTGGACAAGAAGGGAGCTCCTCCCAGGTTGATGGTCGACTGCAGCCACGGAAACTCACTGAAGAACCACAAGAACCAGCCCAAGGTTGCCAGCGTCGTCGCCGAGCAGGTTGCCAAGGGCGAGACTGCCATCATGGGTCTCATGATTGAGAGCAACATTGGCGAGGGTGAGTCCTCCCACGAGAAACCCCAAATTCTTCGTTTTCAAAGCTTGTGCTAACTTAATTTAATAGGTAACCAAAAGGTACCAGAGGAGGGCAAGTCCGGTCTCCAGTACGGCGTCAGTATCACAGATGCTTGCATCCACTGGGCAGATACTGAGGTGGTGCTTGACAATTTGGCCGAGGCCGTGAAGCAAAGACGAAAGGTTTTGGGAGTCAGCATCTAAGTGTCCAAAAACTTGTGCAATCTCCATACCTCCCGTCCTGTCACGGACATGCAACAGTTTGCCAGGCCAGTTGATTGCTTGTCATTATGATGCCAGCGTGTGAAGTTTTGCCGGGTTGCGGTTTAGATGTGGTACACGTAGTTTTCTCTTTTTCTATATGGGGCTTGATGGAGAGCCAGGCATGATTTGCGTTAAAAACGCCTCCTTGGGTGTATATACATAACAAAAGTTTCAGGGTGTCTTTTTTGGTACATCATAGCCAATTGCAAGGCTAGAAGATGATGGATTTGTCGAAAATGTGTATAGGAGAGAAATGGTTCAAAAATTGAATAAGATGAATGGAAATGAAACAAGTTCTAGTGACTGCGAAAGTGGTGCAGAAAATAATTGACATACGCATCAATATGCTATCATTTCCATACATGAAGCCATCACCATGGCCTTGCCTTTCAGGGTTCACACTGTGCGACGCTGCAAGGCCCCCCTAGCTTGATCCAGCCAAGCATCAGCGAGGCTATGTACTTTTGGACGGTACCTGTATAGAATGAATACTGGGCAAGCAAGCGCAGCCAGGCCAATTTTCCGACGACGCAGGACGACACTCTCTTTATTCCAAACCTACGCATCAGCCATCAATTGATCCCTCGCCAGCGCAAGGGCATCGCGCGCTCCCTCGATTTCCTTTGCTTTTGCCTTCAAGGCTCTTGGTTTCTTCTTTTTCTCCTCCCTCATCTTTTTCTAAAACTTTAATAGAGAGCGCTACTGCTCTTTTCTACGCGACTCGCCATCTTACTCCCACCGCAGCAACACGCGCCAAACCACCATGGCGCCAAACTACTCGCCCCCAGACTCGCCATTATCGTCAGCAATGGACTCATCAGAGCCGTACGAAGAAGATCTCCACGACGACGAAACGACGCTACGGCCGTCCAAACGCCAAAAAGTTGAGGCCGGCTCGACAACATCGTCGGCCGTGATCCCCGATGCCGAGCACGAGCCGGTGCCAGAACCCGATCCTCTCGAGGGCATGTCGGACGTATCGTCGGACACGTCAGGCGACATCCCGAGCTCCCCCGTGAACGCCAGGCTGGAGGAGGAAGACTTCCAGGACCAGGTGACCATCTGCGACTGGGACGGCTGCCCTGCAGGGGACCAGGGCAACATGGACAAGCTGGTTGAGCACATTCACAATTCGCACATTGAGAACCGTCAGAAGAAGTACACGTGCGAATGGCGAAGCTGCAACCGAAAGGGTTTGCCTCATGCCAGTGGCTATGCCTTGAAGGCTCATATGCGGAGCCACACCAGAGAGAAGCCCTTCTACTGCTATCTGCCTGGTATGTGTCTTTTGGGGAGCGATGTCCCTTCTGCTTTTCTCCTTTTTAGACTCGCAACTTCTCCATACAATATTATCCGCCATACTAACTGATTGCTCAACAGAATGCGACCGCTCATTTACGAGGTCCGATGCCCTAGCTAAACACATGCGCACCGTTCACGAAACCGAAGCTCTCCGACCATCCGACCCCGTGCCCAAATCTATGCAATCAGGGCCAACAGGTCGGACCGGAAAGCTCAAGATCATCATCAAAACTCCTCAATCTCAATCCGCCGGACAAGACGACGGAGACGACGCCAACGGCGAGGTTCCTCCGTCGGAGTGCTTCACGGCACTCACGTCGGAGCTCTTCACCGAAGAAGAGCTCGAACTTCCCCTCGCCAAGCTATGGCGCAAGTGCCACTGGGAGGCGACGTGGGCAGAGGAGGTTGGAGAGGCGCTCAAGAACGAGTGCAAGCAGTGGGAAGATCTCTACTACAAGGAGTGGCTCGAGAAGGAGGTTTTGCTGGCGCAGGTCATTCAAAGCGAGGTGGACTGGCATGAGCGCCGTCAGGCTATCATCTCTGGCGCTGCTGACGTGCAGCTCCCCAGCAGCACGGAGGAAAGAGATGAAGAGACTGGCAATGGCGTTCACAAAGAAGCCGTCTCCGCGACTGCTGACAAGGAATAGGAGCTTGAGGGACGCAGTCTTCCGCGGGAATTTGTGTTTTTGCAATACGGTAAACGCTGGATGTAGAAATTTCGGTGAATAGGACCATCGGACGGGGCTGGAAGGGATTGAAGCAAAAAGATGGGCGTGCATGTAGAATGCAACGGGGAGTTTTGGGAGTTTTTATCAGAGGACACGCAAGGCGGGCTTAGAAGCAACCGTAATCTTGATCTTTGTCTCTTTCTATTTTCTTTTACTATCAGGTGTTTTGTTTGTTTTCTTATTGCTTTTACCTTGCGCTTCTTTACTCTCTGGGCCAGCATGGAAGTCCGACTTTAGATACATAGTATGCAAGGGAGCAGAGTGGGATGTGCTCTCAGGTTTTTCTTTGGTCGCATGGTGTAAGATAGCAATGAAATATACCAAAGGATGATTCAATATGGCTGACTTCCTTTGTCAATACGAATATAATACTTGATATCTATCCTTATTCGGCCTTTGCTAGGGCAGTATCACATTCTTCGTCAGCAGATGAGATACAGCTTCTCGTCTTCTCTACTCGCCGTAAATATCATAACTGTGATAATCACTTTCTAAATAGAAACAATATTCTATACAGCTTCAACTAACCAAATGATCATACTAATAAATATCAAAGCACCAACTTTCTTAATAATGCTTCCTCGGAAAAACAATCCTAGGCGGGACGGACCCCCTCCAAAACCCCAACCCGCCGATTTCGCATCCCCACTAAATCTTTCAAGTTCCGCTGCGCTGCGTTCATACTTTCGTACCTTCATTTTCTCTAGTACAAAACTGGATTTGAAATCCTCGCCTTTTCATTTGCGCGACGCCCCAGACTCAGCTTCTGTTGCATCTCTTGAGATACAAAAGAAGAAAGAGACTCTAATTTCTTCACTTTGTAGAGCTTCCTTCATTCTTTGGCTGTTTGCTACTAAGTTTGCTTTGGTTACTCCGACACGTGCTTATCAAGAAACCAAGTGCGCCACGGAAATCGCAAAACTCGCCACCTGCAATAAGTGCCTGGATACAACATTCACAAACAAGCACCGAAAGGACAACAGAGAAGAATCCAAGTCAAACAAACAACCTACTGGTTATCCTATCCATCTCGAGAATATAAAAAGCGACGGCATTGCCGTAATCCCGCACCATGAGTGCCATCCTCTCCGCCGACGATCTCAACGACTTCATCTCCCCCGGAGTCGCCTGCATCAAGCCCATCGAGACCCTCCCCGCCGCACCCCAGCAGTCTGCCAACGAAAACGAAGTCATTCTCGATGGCCAGCAACCCTCGTCGTCCAATGCCACACCCGCTCAGATCTCTCTCACGGACTGCCTAGCCTGCTCCGGCTGCGTCACATCCGCGGAGGCCATCCTAGTCAGCCTACAGAGCCACACCGAAGTCATTTCAACGCTCGATGCGGCCCCGGCGCTGCGCGTAGTAGGACCCGATGCGAGCGGGAATTTCACAGTCGAGGGTCTGGAGAATGAAGACGCGAAGCTGTTCGTAGCCAGTGTAAGCTCCCAAACAAGGGCAAACCTGGCTGCTGCATGCGGGCCAGGCGTTACCGAGAGCCAGGCCGGATATATGCTGGAGAGCCTGTTACGGGGTCCAGAAGGGCTTGCAAAAGGAGGAAAGTGGAATACTTCTTTCGAGTGGGTGGTCGATATCAATGTGGCCCGAGATGCAACTCTTGCGCTCGGTGCAGCCGAGGTCCTCTCTTCCCCCACACCGGGCGTCTCCAGGCCGTCACAGCCAATCCTAGCTTCGTCATGTCCCGGATGGGTGTGCTATGCAGAAAAGACTCATCCATATGTTTTACCACATCTATCCAAAGTCAAGTCGCCACAGGCCCTCATGGGCACCATCCTGAAAACATCGCTGAGCCGGAAGCTGGGCATCCCGCCCAGTAGAATATGGCATGTGGCTATCATGCCTTGTTTCGATAAGAAGCTCGAGGCCAGTCGGGAAGAGCTCACCGATGAAGTGTGGGCGCGCTCTGGCTTGCCTGGAAAGGGAATTCGAGACGTCGACTGCGTTATCACGAGCAAAGAGGTTTTGATGCTGGCAGAGTCAAGGGGACTCGACTTCTTTAGCATGTCCAAATCCGCATCATCCCTCACACCCTCAATACCCTTCCCGGATGAAAAACTCCAGGCATTCCTATTTCCAAGCAAGGGCTCAAGAAAGCCCTCGCGTGTAGCTGGTTCGTCCGGCGGGCTGTTACACCACATTCTCCAAACCCGGGCTGCCCAAACGCCGGGCTCTGAGATACAAATCGTCCGAGGCCGTAATGTCGATGTAGTCGAATACTTTGTTACGGTAAATGGCGAGCCTATTTTCAAGGCCGCTCGGTACTATGGCTTCAGAAATATTCAAAATCTCGTCAGGCGTTTGAAGCCGGCCCGTCCGTCCCGCATGCCTGGCGGAAAGCCTTTTGGGAGTGCTCGCCGCCCGGCAGGGAAAGCCGCCTCTCTCGACTATAGCTTTGTTGAAGTCATGGCATGCCCCGGCGGCTGCACTAATGGTGGTGGTCAGATCAAAGTCGACGATCCCGTGATTCTTGAGCGCAAGAACATTTCGGAGAAGCCAGGTCCGCAGGAGCAGAAGGACTGGCTAGCAGAAATCGATGAGGCATATTTCTCGGGCGAAGATTCGCTGGTCGAACACAATGGCTGTGGCCCCGAGAAGGTCGTTGGCGGCATTTCCCACTCGTATATAGATGATACCCTGGCGTACTGGTCCGGCATGACAGGTATAGGGTTAGATAGACTGGCTTTCACGAGCTATCGTGAGGTGATTAGTGACGTTGGAAAGGATACAGCCACCGAGAGAGCCGCTCAGCTGGCCGGCAAAGCTGACGGTGGGTGGTAGGTAGCTTTATATAGAAATAATGAAGCAACGATTCAAGTATCTCTGCTGCCGCCACGCCGTGCAAAGCCAAAGCCTCCTCTGCCACTTCCATCCGGTCCTCTAGGCGCTCGAATTGCTTGGTGCTCGTCTCGGCCCCCCTGACCTCGCATGGGAGAATCGCTGCCTCCCCGTCGGATCGATTCCGGCTTCGGGGAAGAGCTGGGGTCGAATAGCTCCCTCCTAGGTCCGGGCTGAGCGGCAGGTCGCCGAGGCTCAAACTGCTGCCCGCTGCCCTCGTTATTGATAGCACTGCTGCTGTTGTTATTGCTACTGCCACTACCGCCGTTGTTGCCGTAGCTATAGCCGCCGCTGTAGTTCCCACCGCGCCCCCTGCCACGGCCACGGTACGACCCTCGCCCTTCAGTCCTCGGAGGTGTAACGGTGCCTGTGCCGGGCGACGACCCTCGCGACGAAGGGGCGGACTCGCCAAAGATCTTTGCTCGGGCTTCGTCGTAGCGCCGCTGCTTCTCCTCGCGGTCGCGCTTCTGCTTTGCACGGATTTCGTCGGGCGTCATCTGCGCCTGCTGCGGCCGACCGTCGTCGCCGTCGTCGAGGGACATTTGTGCCAGGCCCGTGACGGGGTCCTTCTTGGCGATGACGGGCTTGCGGCTGAGGACTTTGACCTGGGGCTTGAAAGAAGTGGTGAGAGGGACGCCGCCGCCGTTGGCTTCAATGTAGTGGAAGGTCTCTGTCGTCGAATCGCTGTTTCCGCGGCAAAGCAAAGTCAAAAGTCAGCAAAGAAATCATCACGGGCAACTTCCGTTTTGTGAAAGCATCTTCCATACGCTGATTCCCATAGTTTCCGGTTCGCCTCAGCGTGCTGCTGCATGCGTTCTTGTCTGCTCAGGTTGGGCTGCGGAACGGCCTGCGGTTCTTTGCGGTCGAGCCGGTCAGCTTGAGCTTCCCAGTCGTCGTCCCAGGCATCGGGAACGGGAACGCCGCCTGCCCTGTTCATCATGTATAAGGATTAACTGAAAGAATGAATGATCAAAATGATTGGTTGAAGCTAATAAGCAATGGAAGCGTGAAGGACAGCTTCGAAGCTGAGGAGCCGAATGTTATAACTTGGGTATGCTCGTCGTCGGACTTTGTTTCAAAGGCATTTGCCGCACAGCAAATTCTAGTCTTTCAACGTCGTGTGCTCTTTGCTTCTAGGCTGCCTTGACGCCCTTGTCCAGCTACGTAAATCTGCGCATCGAAGCCCGTGGCTGCATGGATCAACGCTCGTCGGGATGTTCGAGAGGAAGCAGGTAGTTTGCTTTATCGAGGTTGGTATTTGTTTGTGTGGTTATAATTTTGACGCGCGGTACCTGCAAAGTACCGAGGCTGTGGCCCTTTACGAAGGTAAATTCTGCAGCGTGGGCGCTCCGTTGAAAGTATATGTAGGTATCTATTTTCGGACTTTTTCCTTTGCGCTGGATCCTTTTCCGGCCGCGGGGAGCCAATTGGTGGGGCGGGAACTTCTTAAGGTGCTCTGCAGTTAATTCATTGACAGCAGAGAGTTTCCCTTGGCTGGCATGAAGTTTAACCAAGCACCTCATTGCCTACATAGTTTAGACGACGATACCCAAGATTTGGGGTTTCTAAAGTTTCCATCTGATAAGAAAAGGTACGAAACCAGATCTGCCCCATAAAGTCAACTCATGGGCTGCCCAGTTAAATGCATCCTCTCGCTAGCCTCTTTCTCAACTGCCATGGCTGAAGCATCGAGTCCCTCGGCACCTGCAGCCTCAAACGCCTCCAAGAGGCTCAGGGAAGACGGCGAGGCTATCAAGAGCCGACTTTTGGATCAACACTTCCACATCAGTAAGTCGTTTTCGTCCAGTCTCCAAAATTCGCGTGCCTCCGTGCTCCCCTGTGTTTCACATACTGACCGAGTGTATCCGTTGCGTCAAGCCCGCTATGTAGATCCGTTGGTTCCACGAAAGACGTCAGACCCTCAAAACTGGCCAAGGGGTGTGACGCCCGAGATGGAGCAGAAGTGGCTGGCTATCATTAAGGAGCATCGTTCTACTAAGACTACCTAGGTATGGGATATTAGATACTTAGTATGGTGGGCATTTGGTGGGAATTGGCGAGGCTTTCATTTCACGATGTAACGACAACGCATAAAGGGCTGTATTGTACTTGATTAAACAGCTTTTCTTTACGACTGTAGCCGGCGATAACAGGGATGTTACTCAATATCTGTGTGCTTTACTCTCATTTCGCTCTTGACGCCATACGATGGCTGGCAGCTCTAATAGAACAATAGAACCATCTCATAGTAAGTAAAAGGGTTCCTGTCACGTTGGCTTGGCAACGTTGCATTAGGTATTGAGCATCCAGCTGTTCCCCGAAATCAATGTCCAGGCACGCTTTCGGCATGTCCGCGCTGGGCAATTGTTGTGTCTATTGTAGTAGTTCAAGGAAGTGTCACTCCCACACTCTGAGATAAAAGGTGGGTTCAACGATCTCTCCCGGGGATTGTCACACTGTCACGCTAAACCCAACTTCGAGTAACATCGTGCAGTGCCCAGAGTCGAGGGATACAAGAAAATTGCTCTACGATGGCTCACGATGGCCTCCTACAGGATGGCATCGGTGACAGATATGCTACCGACGAATTGCCACTCCAAAGCAAGCCAGCGGCGCTATGAAATGGTCGTATCTCTCGATTCGCTCTTGGCGAGAGCAGAGCAGAGAAGAGGCTAGAAGGGCACTAGATAATTCTGCAATGCTTAAGGGCTAACGCGAAACCGGCGATAACACTATTCCACGTGTAGGAATACTCACGACGTGCTTCAGTGTTGGAGTCGAAGAACCAAAACTCAAGTGCCACACTCAAGCCACAGCGAGTTTCGTTTCTACTGATTGTGAGGCAGCGATGCAGAGGCACAGTGCGCAGCCGGTAATGAACAGGCACCACCGCTAGTCACGGCGATGGAGCAATGAATACGGCCGTCTTGATATCAGCTCTAAGAATGCATCATGTATGTAACTACAAGATGTGATCCCACGTCAGCTGATTTGCAGCCAGACGAGGCTGAGCCCGCAGCCTCTTCCAGTCCCTTGCCGAAAGAGCTAACCCTGCCTTGCCTTTCCCCCTCATTCTTGGAGTAACTCGTGCATGCGGGATGGCGTGGCAAAATGCGAGTCTTTTTCTTTTTCCGCCTCAGGTAGATTGGGTCTGGACAGCGCCAGACCAACCTAGACGACCTTGGCGGCTGGTCGTGTTGGTCGTTGGTGACTTCTGCCTAGCGAGTCGCAAGTGTAAAGAGGCAATGGAGAAATTATCAATCACAAATTCCAGACATTGCGACAGCTGCGGTGGCAAGACTTGAATCGTGGCTGAGTCGTTGCCTTGCACTGTACAGATGGATGCTGTTTACTGGAGTTTCTTGTGATATGGCCTCTGCAGCAAAGTACATGCACCTCGTGTTTCGAGACATCGGTAATACACGATAGCGTGCTTGAAGCTCATAGACTATCAAGATATTGCAGGACACCCTTTCGCGGCTTTCTGGTAGGCATTTTTCGTTGGCAATCAATCGGTTCGGGTCTATTGGCTGGGAGGTGGCGGGACAAGTTCCACTGGACAGTGCGTGTGATACCCCAAAACCCCAAACCTCCCAGAGGCCAAAGGAAATGTGATACTTGAGGGCCACTGGCTAACGTTACGAAGGAACAAGTGGCTAGTATCGCAAGAAGAGAACCGCAAGCCTCCCTTGCTTCACTAGGCTGGGGAATGGAGGCGAGGCTTCAAGACCACCATAACCGGCCAGTGACGCCCGATCCTATCGCTCACCATGTAAGATTGTATGCCCAAGGCTGCTTTGAGCAACGGAACATGAAGAGATCAAGCTGGGATCCTTGATGCTCTCCGCTGTTTGTCCAGCTTATAGCGGGTACAAGAGTGGCTTGGGAGTTGCTCTCACTAGACCTGGATGGTGGACACCATTACCAGATTGCCGGGACTTATGTTGCAGCTCCTCAGCAGCACGGCATCCGTCTTTCTTGACTCACACCGCCACCAAGAACAGACGTTTTCGCATGTACTAATCAACTAATGCGATGTACGGCAACGGCAACACACGTGTCATACCTGCTAGGTAGTAGGGAGAGAGCTGAGCGCCTGATGGACGGTGTACTCGTACCTGGATTGATTGGTAAAGAGAGGGACGGTGAATATCTGCAGCCCCGCCTCACAGTATGTGGATTTCGATGCTCTCTCCAGTCGTTTGTATGAAAGACTTCAGTACTGTGCTGTACTGGTACGCAGGTCATCTCCACTCGGTGAAGAAAAGGGCCCCCGACTCCAAAAACGCGATGCTGCAGTTGAGCGGCAAATCAATCGCCAGCGGCCGGGCCTGTAGCGTTGTAATGGTGACAGAAGCTGCTCCTCCTTGTCTCGGGAAACGCGGTACCCGAGCCCTTCAAAACCTTGAACGGCGGTGATGCTTTGATTCGCCGCCCGGGCCAAGATCTCGGAAGCAGGCCCCTGTCAAGTTTATTAGCCACCGCCTTGCCGAGTCTATTCGTTTCCACGGCGTCCACGTCTGTATTGGCAACCGGCGTTATTCACCTTTTGCGACGCAGCACGACATGTACAGTACCTTACTTGAGGTGTTTATTTTTTTATTAGTGCTACCTCATGTAGGCAAGGCAGTGAAGGGATGAGACATTGAACAGCACAGAGGCAGGGGGGCGAGCTGAGGTGGTACTTTTGGTCCTCCATCTTTGAGCCCAAGATCCCGTACCTCTATCTGCATCTGTAGGTACCTGCACTCGGTCCCAACACGGGATAATAACCATCAACACTCTGCAAACCCCGGATGCGAATACGGAGCCCTGGAGTTGATTTGAGGCTAGCACTTGGCAGTCCCAGTCGATGACCTGTGTGTTTCGGTTCAGCTCATCATCATCATCGCTGGCTGGCTGATCAGCAGGACTCGTTTAAGTACATGTACAGGTACAGGTACAGGTACACGCTAGGCGGCGGGCTGGGCCAGATGCGAGGAGCGCGCTCGCGATGCCGCCATCGCCAGCTCGCTTTCGCTCAATCAATCAACTAGCAGCCGGCCGCGTGGGAACTCCGCAGTGGATGACGGCCTGGCTGGTGGTGGCTGAGAAGTTGGGAGGGGGTCTTAGGTTCCATGTTGTCTTCGGGCCTGCAGGCTGAAGAGCCATAGAAATGCCGTTGCCGCACTGGCGCTAGGGGAGCTGGCAGACAGAGGCTACTGCTACAGCGCGCTCCACCCCTACAGCCGCCGCCGCGAGCCCTCCGCTAGCCGGCCCACACACTGTACGGGGCCCTGCGACAGCGACCAGCAGTCAGTGGCCCTACTGTACGAGTCCTCGGACTGACGCCTACAGGCAGCTTCTTCGCCTGGCTCACTTTTGCCCCAAGAATCCATCCATTACCAAACAACTTTTTTTTCCTGCTCCTTTACGCGCTGCTCCCATCATCCCTCATCACCCAATCTTGTTACTGTATTTGTCTTCTTTCCTGCGCAATCACCGCTCCTGGTGTCGACTCCCTTTCCCTCGACCGACCCTTGGCGAGCGCGACGCCATCCGACTGCAAACGGCGCTGAATCCGCCCATCCCATCTTATCCAGTCCGCTGGCGTAGCCTTGAGTATACAATACCGATTGTTCCCCCCGCGGCTTCACCATGTCTGGCCCTGAAAGCGCCCATGCCGGAGGTGGCTACGACCTTCTGAGGAGGGCAACTCAAGCAATGATGTCAAAGTACGTTTGGTTGTCTTGTCCTTGTGTCTTTGTCCGTCTTTCAGCCCTTTATCCCGCGCTCTGGAAGTCTCCGTGTCGTTCCGCGAAGCGGCTTGGCCCCGCCATCATCTTCTCCCACGATAGCCTTGCGAGCTACCAAGTAGTAGCTCTTCATGGGCCATATTTGAGTGGGACAAAGCAAATCATAATCAAACCTCATCTGCTTGTTTCACTTGTTTGTTTTTTGCCAGTTTCCCGTCGAGCCAGGAGGAGGAAATCAACCTTGACTGCGACTCAACTGCCGGTGGAGATCTGGCGCGCAAGTGGCGCTGGGTTTGACACAAAGCACCCGATCTTGGGCATTGAAACAACTTCAACAATGTCTCGTTACTCGACTACGTGAGCCAATGACTGGTGGTTTGCCTGGTGCTTCTGGTGCTTCTGGCATATTCCAGTTTATGCTCCGCCTTACAGCATTTCCGCTCCGATGGAAGCCAAGAGACGGGCATTTCACGCAACGCTTATCAAGCCTGTGGCGGGGTGTCTTATGAGCTTACTGCTATCAACCACTCGTCCTTGCGGGCAACCCGAAAACGCTTGCACATGCCAATCGAAGGGGAAAAAACTTCTCTTACATGGAACCAAGCTTGTCCTGGAAACTACGGCTATTTTGCGGAACCATGTTCGTCATACCCTGGCGCTTCAACTCATATCCAGGCCCAACCAGGATACGGCTAGGAAAGCTACCCGTCCGCCTTTGAGCGCCTCATCTGGCCAATTTCCTGACTCATGGTCGACCCCTCCGATTCACAGTCACTGCAGGAGTCTTATTCTGCGAATCTGTTCTGTTTCACTCTACGGCAGATTAGTAAAGAACAAGACACCCTTTCAAAACTGTCCGGACCATCGGCCGCTTGGCGCTTCCAGAGCCTCTTGAAATTTTTTTCCCTTACTTTCTGCACAACCCCGCCACAGCATGCATGCTTTTAGGCCTTCTACTTCCAGCCTTGACCAAGTTTTTGATATCCCCACTCGTCTAAGTGGCCGTACCGGAGCAAATTTCACCTCGTCATTCCCCTTTCTTCGCGCCTGTTGCGCCCGGCGTTTGTACAGCCGGATCCGCTCTCGGAATTCCCATCTCTGACTGCTCAGCCCTTGGACTGTCCGGGTTGCCTGGCCGGCCGCCTCCGTGTTTTCCTCGTCCGTTATAATCAATCTTTCCCCCTAACGAGTTAGTGCACATCACGACTTCAATTCCCATCCATCCTTTCCTTGGCGCCAGCCGCGAACTAGTGTTCCCACTTCAATCAACCATTTCCCCGCGCCATTGTTGATTTTTTGCCTAACCAAATCTTTTTATCATATTTTTCCTCGTTGCTTTTCGCCTTTTCTTTCCTTAATTCAGTTGACCATGCAGGGTACTGACAAATCCACAAGAACCGCCGCGACGGACGAGGATGGCGCGGATCACATCGGCTTTGAAACCCCTCGATCCGGCATAGCCACTCCTCACCCCGACCCTCAAGATAAACGCCTGCCCGGAATCATGAGCTACTTTGCCCAGGTTCGTGAAGACCTTCCTGCAAGCCAGGAGAGCTTTTCTACAATGTCAATACCGGAGGGAGGCGTGCCCTCGGCCCCGATGCAAGGCCAGCAGTTGCTGGACTCCTTATCCACAAAATTACAGTCACTCGAGCATGCTGAAAGCTCTCAGCCTTGCAGACAAGAAGCTCGTTGCTCCCGGCAGTCTAACTTGACTATTCGCACGCGCGCTAGCCAGGAAAAACTGACGGGATCAACAAACTCTTGTCTACCCTCCGTCACTTCACACTCTTCCTCCTCTTCTACGAGGTCTGCAGCACCAGAAACTACTTTTTCGGACGAGGAGATTAGGAGTGCCGGTTCATCAGGCGCTTCTAGTCGCTCGGAAACAGTAAAGTCTATGGGTTGTTTGCAAGATCGTCCACTTCTTTCCCAATTATCTACCCGTCCTTTCTCAGATACCGCCGCCGCATTAATTCCTCATCCTGTGCCACATACACAAGCTCACAGGTCTTCTTCTCCAACTCTGCACTCGCAAGATGTGGCGGAGCTTGGCACAACTCAAACTAAATGGTTTTCGCTTCAAGGACTGAAAGAGCTAACTCGTGGTATCATGTTCAAGAGCGGCCCGCCCACTCCTACCAGGGCCCTCTCTACAGCCCAACCAGCCCCAGAGAGCAGGGACACCACTCCCAACGGATCCGGAACTGATGGCGCCGAGACAAGTGGCACGCAGACTCCCAAGAACTCTGGAGCCGCTCAGTCGGCCAAGGGGAGATTGACCATCAAGATCGTTGAGGCGCGAGGAATTCGCAAGAGCCGTGACCCATACGTCGTGGCCGTGTTCCAGCGAAGTGAGCTCATCTCTGGTGGACCTCATGCCATCGAGGAGGAGGAACATGTCATAGGAACACCGGCTGGTCTCGGCGCAATCCCAATGAAGCGTCAAGTAAGCGATTCTGGCAGGCCGATGGCGATTCCAATGCGCAGCCGTCAGAGCAGCAACACCAGCATTAGTGACTACAACACATTCCGCAACCGAACCTCCCGGACCCTTTACTCAAGTCCTAAGTGGGACGCAGAAGCTGTCTTGTAAGTTTATTTATCGTCCCACTGGCAGTCGTCGTCACCGTCCACCGCGGAAGTGGTAATGCTAACCGCCATTGTAGCGATGTTGTCGATTCGGATTTACAGGTAGACGTTTCGGTATATGACCATGCCGCAAATGGAGAGGATTTCCTGGGCCATGTCAACCTCGAGGCCAAAAAGGACAGCCCTGTCAAGGGGTGGTTCGCGCTGCAAGGACACGCAAACACCACTGTCGACAACATTCCGACGGGCGAGATTTTTGTCGAGGTCACCTACCAGAGGACGGAAAGGAAGCACTTCGGTCCCACCGACTTCGAGGTCCTCAAGCTCATCGGCAAGGGCACTTTTGGCCAAGTCTACCAAGTTCGAAAGAAGGATACCCAGCGAATTTATGCTATGAAGGTCTTGCAGAAGAAAGTCATTGTCCAGAAGAAGGAGGTTGCACACACCGTGGGGGAGCGAAACATTCTCGTTCGCACAGCTACGTCTGATTCACCGTTCATCGTTGGACTGAAATTCTCGTTCCAAACACCATCGGAACTGTACTTGGTGACCGATTACATGTCTGGTGGAGAGCTGTTCTGGCACCTCCAGAAGGAAGGCCGATTCGATGAGAAGCGAGCCAAGTTTTATATCGCCGAGCTTATCTTGGCAATACAGCATCTCCACAACAACGACATTGTCTATCGAGATCTCAAGCCCGAAAACATTCTCCTAGATGCGAATGGTCACATCGCGCTTTGCGACTTTGGGCTGTCCAAGGCAAACCTCACAAAGAACGACACCACCAATACCTTCTGTGGAACTACAGAATACCTCGCACCTGAAGTCCTTCTCGATGAGTCAGGATACACGAAAATGGTCGACTTCTGGTCGCTCGGTGTCTTGGTGTTTGAGATGTGCTGCGGATGGAGCCCCTTTTACGCCGAGGACACTCAGCAAATGTACAAGAACATTGCCTTTGGCAAGGTTCGGTTCCCGCGTGACACACTATCTCAGGAGGGCCGCAACTTTGTCAAGGGGTTGCTTAATAGAAATCCCAAACACAGACTAGGAGCAACGGACGATGCTGAAGAGCTTAAACGCCACCCCTTCTTCAACGACATTGACTGGAACCTCCTCGCCAAGAAGCTCATCTCTCCACCCTTCAAGCCAAAGTTGAAGTCGGCAACGGATGTGTCATATTTCGACCCAGAATTCACTACCGCCCTAGACCAGAATGGCTCTCTCAATGAGCGGGCTGCTGCACTGGCGAGAGGATACGCCGCCTCCACACCGCTCTCACCGTCGGTGCAGGCAAACTTTCATGGATTCACCTACGTTGATGAAAGTGCACTGGATGATCACATGCGTGACTTATCGAGAAACGACGACGAAGATATGGATGACGCTCACGCCAACGGTGACGATGACTGGGATAATCTAGAGGATATCGACCCCAGACAGGCCAACAGGATGAGTGGCATCGTCAAATCTGGACACGACGAACAAATGGTTGGAGGCGCGCATTTTGACCCGTAAATGGCATATTGGTTGGTTACCGGCACACGGGAGTGGAAGGGCTTGCATGGCGTTTGTTTATTTTCCCCTGTTTAGTTTTCCTTCGTGTCATGGCAATTGCAGGTCGACTTTTGTACCTGGAAAAAAGAAATTGATATCCCGAAAAACAACCACGACGATGTCGATACAAACGGTTAATCATGGCATGAATTGCATCAAGGGGTTGGTTGGGTTTTGCATTTTGCTCGTTGTGTTCCATGGCTATCTGTGCAGGAAAGGATCCTGGAGTTCAGGTTGAGCCCGAAGATGTATGATGATGATGATGAAATGGAATTGACTCAAAGTGCCAGACTGCTCGCACAAATGTGTAACAAGTCTGATGCAGCAGATTCCAGAACATAAGAATGGAAAAAAGAAGACACAAAGAGAAAAAAAACTATTCCGGCATTGAAAGAGAAAGAAAGAGAAGACTTCACACACCACACACAAGATGTAACAAAAAAGGGAACCTCGGACAGAAGAGAGGGTCAAAAACAAAAGCAAATAAGCATTTACTTTTTTCTTTTTCTTTTTCTTCCTTAGGCTAGTAGGACCATGCCGCCTTGCATCTCATCATGTCTTTTGTTCGTGCGCGCCAATTCGGTGAACTTTTGCCTCGGGCGCGTGTGTGTAAATTCATGATGAACGAACGATGAGAGAGTAATAACCCAAGAAGGGAGCTTTTAGTAATCTTGGAAAACGTATATATATTTAATTAATATCATTTGCCGGAATGATGACCCCACGAAATGATGCGGTGTCGATTATTGTGTAGTCATCATCTTAGTTGGAGGTCAATATTGCTATTCATCATTATAATCAAAAGTGATTGCCGTAGATGAGATTCCGTTGATGAGATTCCGCATGATTATGTTTTTCCTGGGCATCTACCACAAGAGGCCTTGAGGCAGTTCATTTTGGAAACAACTCATCCTAGATTATTGTTCACTATAAAGAGAAGTGAAGTTCGTCACTATACAAGAGGCGGGCACACATGCAAGTTTGCATATCTTGATTGATATTGGCATTCAGAACAATGTCCTACATTGAATCGAGGGCTGTTTGAGGAAAAATGTACAATGGGATATGTAAAAAGTATCCCTTTTGACAAGACCGGCATCCTTGTTCCTGGCCGCAATCAGCCCGACCAGAAAATTATGGATTGTCCGGTATGCCACTGCCTCCCCCTCCTGGCTCTTTCTCTCTCTCGTCTCTTCATCCTCCACTCTTTTTCGTATATCAAACTCCCGCTGAGCGTCAAAAAAGTGAGCTTTTTGCACTAAACTGACGATTTATCCCTTCTTTCTCTTTCTTCCCCTCTCTATTCCACCCAGCTGACAGGATTTTCTCTCCTTGTTTTCATTCAAGAGCGCGGTTTTCGATCCTCTAGTGGTGGGGCTCCTCCTCCTCCTCGGCCTCGAGCCAGTCAGGCAGCTGAGCAACGCCAGTGGCGGACTGGGCGGAAGCATCCTGACCCTCGATCTCAACGGCCATGGACTCGTAGGCCTTGAGGTTGTCGGCAAGGTTGGCCTCCTCGGGAGAGGCAGGGGTCTTGGGCATGGCGAAGACCTGGACCTGGCCCTCAGCATCGGACTCCTTGACGGCGGGGGTCTTGTAGGCCTTGAGCTCCTTGAGGTAGAGCTCCTGAACGAAGTCGGCTAAAATGGAAAGTTGCGTTAGTTGACACGTTCTGGTTGATTTGGCCTTGGTCATGTATATCAAGCTAGTTTAGCTAAGCTGGAGTGTGCAGATGTGGCGGGAAATAGCGCAACGCTTGTTGCTCGAGTTGTCATGCTATCTCGGCGAAGAAGGAATCTCGGGTCGTTGAGGCTGATGGTTTTGATGAAGGTAGTTCCTTGTGACAAAGGTGGCCAGATGAACAAAGGTAGCAATCGGAGGTATCGGCTATAGCATTTGAGGGTATAAAAAGTGACAAAACAGATGTAGAGCTTCTTAAGAATTCCCAACCAATGTAAAATGCAGTGGAAAGGACAGGCCACCTCCAAGTTGACAACGGGCCGACAGCAGATGATGGATTGACTTGGACACAAAGGGAAGATATAAGGCGCATTTCCATACCTCGTCGTGAGACGGTTGGGGCAATGAAGCCCCTCACCTGGACGGCATTTGCTCTGGCGGCGCGAGCAGCAACAGCGCGCTACATCGACAGAAACAAGAACCAGTTAGCAATGGACAGTCCCGTGCTGAGGTGTGCAAGGCTTATGCCGGGCCAGCGCATCGCATCGCATCGCATCGCATGCGGGGAGGGGCGAAGATGACGATGGCGGCGACGTGGACAAAAAGCCCAGCCAAGGGAGAGGGTTTTTCGCATCGGCTGGGATGATTGATGGAGGACGGAAGGGTGATACTTACAGAGGCCCGGGACAGTTGGCTGAGCATCTTGAAATGGCTTGGGCGTTGCTCAATTGGCGGAGAGCAAAAGGGCGGACCCGGACAAAGGTTTGGGGGGGGAGAGGAATGGAGACAGGCTGAGGGTTTTGTGAAAATCGTGATGCCGAACCTTGGGAGACTTTCCCCGGCTAAAGCATGGCCAGCCAGCCCGTCACGCGGAGCGCCGGGCTTTTTTTCTTCCTCTTTTGGTGCTCTGTGCCTGGGCTGCGGCAACTTTTTTTTTTTTCTTTCTTGGTGCCTCAGGTTTTGAGGGATGGGGAGCCACTACGTCCACTAATTCCCACTGTTTTTTTTGAGCTGTTCCAGTGCTTGAGAGCGCCGGAGAGGTCGCTGGGATTTAGCGGGAGCTTGCGGAGATGGGAGAGCTGCACGTGACTCGGGAGAAGTCGCGTAGATCCCGGAAACGACGTCAGGCCACGCAGAAGCTCGATTCTGAATATCATCCAATGCTATATGAGTATAGTACAGGCTGCGGCAAATAAACATCAATGGATATGTCCTTGCATTCTACAGCATATACATATTATGATTGATTTGGTCGCTGATTGTTTTTTTCTATAGTAGGAAAATTACTTCCCATGTACTCGTACTAGGCGGCGTCAGTTATGCAGGGGAGCCACTTACATGTACGCACAGCAAAGCTCAATGGGCCAGCAAGAGCTCCATCAAGCATCTTGCATTACAGTACAGCCAAAATGAACAGCTCCCTTGGGCAAGATGTGGGGCATCAAGGCTTGATCAGACGTCAGTGGCAGTTTCAAATGGTAGTACCGTAGAACTCCAAATAACATGGTTCGGTCCAGTTGAATTGGTAGATAGACACTTCCCCATATTCAACTAGTACACACACACATGATCCAAGACTACATTACACGTACCTATCATTCACCACATTGCAAAGACTTGTTGCATTCAAAAATAATTTCAAATGTTGAATTAATGATATCATAAAGGCCTAAGCTGCCCGTGCAAACATGATGGCTTACACATCTCTATATACTCGGTATTAACCATTCATTCGGATGTCCGTATTATCCTTCAGAAGCGACCGACTCTCCCAATTCAAAAAAAGAAAAAATATTATGTCCCAACGCCAACAGACATGCTGTACGTATTTGCACGTCTGTGATTGTGTATGTTAAACGGGGGTATACCAATGGCATCATGTGCCTATTTCAAAACGCTTTTCATCCCAGACCGCATCGTATAATCACAACATTCGCCGTATATAAACCCTCTTACGAGGCTTGCGCCACCGATGCATACTCCTGCTTCGACTGGTGCTCTTTCCTGGTCGCTCGGCTCCAGCCAAGAGCAATTGAAGCCAGGTAAATCAGCGTAGTAACGCCTGCCACGACCGAGTAGGCAATGATGTAACGTGTAGGGGCGTTGCCGAGCTGTAAACCGAGACCGCCGTTGACAATGCCAATGATCATGAGCGCGCGTCCATACCAGCAGTGAAGGTGGCCAAAGAAGCCACGCTTCTGCGTCTTGAGATAGTTGATGTGGTGAATCAAGCCAAAGAGGGGCTGCAGGCTGATGAGGGGAACGAGGATTATTCCCAAGCGAGAGTGAGCTTGGTCAAAGAACTAGAAGGACGAAGATTGTCAGTATGGAAATTCGGAATGGTACACGTAATGAGAGATTAAGAGAAAAGACATACCACGTTCTGGTTTCTGGCGATGGTGACACCAAGTCCAAGTCCAGCCCACATTCCCAGGAAAGCAATAGTCTGCCAAGATGCATGAATATACCACTTGCCGATCAGAGGCATCAAGGCAGCGCCGAGCGGATACATGATAACGAAGATGACCGACATGAGGATGCCGTGGGCACTGGCCAGAGTCTGGTTCGTCGAGCTGGTGGTGACACCTGATACAGCGCCACCATCACCATCACCATCACTATCGCCGTTGCCATCACCAGAGCTGCCAGAGCTTCCGCCGGAGCTTCCGCCGCTGCTGTTGTCACTGCTGGAGCCGACAAAGGGGTTCGCGTTGGAGCTGATGCTAGCTTGGCCCAAGTTGACGTGAAACTGGGTCATGCTATCGTGTTGTGTGATAATGGCCGCCGGGTTCGTCGAATCCAAGGCATCTCCCGACTTCCATGCCGAAATCCAGTTCGACTGGCCCGTCAGGTCAAGATTGGTGCAATTGCCGCACTTCACATTGGCAACCATGTTGCCGTCAACCACACCAGAACCGGCCAGGAGCGTGACGTCGTTTCTGGCTTTGTAAGTGGGCATGACGTGGTTGGCACCCGGCCTCGTGCTGAGCGTAACGTTTCCATTGCCGTCCTGGTACATGATGAACATCTGTGAGTGATCCATCTGAGTACCAATACCGAGTCCGATCCATTGCCAAGATGTGGGAGCTTTGAGCTGGAAGTAGATGTCGCCGGATCCCGCCTTGGCCGAGGCCTCAGGGACTCCCCATTCGAAGCAAACGCCGTCGGTAGGACAGAATGGTGCTGTGACGGCGGAAGCGGCGCCGATGTCTTACGCAATTCTTGTTAATTACAAGTTATAGCCAAAGGCGCGGAGCAGACGGATGCGACTTACAGAGACCGGTGGCAGCAGCAGCCAAAGCCGTGCTTCGTGAGAACCTCATGATGTATGCCCGCGCGTTTATAAATGCGCCTCTACACTTTGTATTGAGACGTTCGTATGATATGAAATAATATAGGAGATAAGATCGAGAGGGGGTGTGAAGGGAATCGCTCTAACTTATAACACCCGCCAGGAGTTGTGTGATAAGAGGCGTCGCTGCGGGATGTCACTAGTTGCTTGTTGACAAGCGTCTTTCTAGCCATCGGCAGAGGGAGCGAGCATTGAATACTTAAATGTTCGAGGCCTTCGTTAGGACAACGATAGGGACGTCTCGGGCTCGTCCGGCTCCCCCCAAGGGGTGAGAAGGGGTGTGTCGAGACGCATTGATGCATCTTCCCCCTGCAAGTCTGTTTCTATTTTTTCCTCGCTCCGGGGCCTCTAGCTGCTTTGCAAGCCCACCGCAGTCCCCAGCCTTACACCAGATGGGCATTGACTTCGTCACTAGATTACCCAGATGGGTCCAGAAATTAGACTGGAATACCTATTAGTCGCTCGAATCTGTCCGGCTTGGAAACAAGACAAGCCGGACCCGGACCATTGATGATTTCAATGATGATGTTGATGACGAAACGAGCCTTGTAGGTACGCACATCTCTTGGCCAAAAGAGTAGTTGAAGGATTGAACATGACATGGATTCAACTACCTCCACGCTCGTCATGTTCGCAGCACTAGTTTCAAGTGCAGAGCAGGCTAACATTGGGCAGTAGCAGTTGAGGGGAGCATGGCCTAGATCGCAGGTTGACCAAATGAGGCTGCCTCTAGCGGGGGCACACCCCAACTCTGCAGTCCCAAACCAGCGGGTTATCACTCATGCAGGTTGGAATAAGACAGCATTATCCCGTTAGGGCCTTGGCTCTGTTTTTGTTGGCACCAGTGGGAGACTTCCTCAATGTAATCAAGGACGCTGGTTGGAAGAACAGGCATCCAGGGGTGCTGATGGTTTCTGCTGAATCGCCGTGCGTGTTTCGTGCACAAGGCCTCCCGTCTTACAGCACAGTAGTTGTTCCCCCAATCTCAAGCCACCACGGCAGAGGCTATCTTTGGGGGCGACGTCGACGCCATTGATGTAAATCTTTATCATGCCGGCATTAATCTTGCCGTACGCTTCTTCGCTTCGCCCAGCTCTCCTGTTCTATATAGCCTTCTCAGCGGAGCAATCTATCATCCATCTGCGAAACAAGTCCTTGACACAGCAGACCGACGGTAGAGACGGCACGTGCTGACAACTACGACAAGGAAGAGTGCCTGGCGATCTCTTGTTGAGTGTCACAAGCGAGGCGCAGAGCAGCTCCCAGACGCGCAACCAGTAGGTACTTCGTAGAGGCGTGGGCGTGTCTCTGCTTCGCTCTTTTTCCCAAATCTGTGCTCCGGCCCTTAGCTTGGCGGCAACAGAACGCGGAGTGGCTTACAGTAGTGAGAATAGGTATCTCAAATACATGGTATGGGTCAGATATTGAGTGCTGACCTGTTTGGCCCGCCGGAGGATCTAACTGCCCGACCCGGAGCAACATCTGAATTTCAGATTCGTTCTGACCTTGAGCATCCTGTAACGGTTCCTGATCTGATTGCGATGATCTTGTTTCTGTCGTTTCTGCCGTGAAATGACGATTATCGCGATCAAGATGCCGGTATATTCATTGACTTTTTTTAAGCTCTCCAGCCACTGCGTTGAGCCGTATTGCCATCGCGCCTCTTTGTCGTGTAAAGCCAGCTAAAGACGGGCACCTCGAAAGCTTCTTTGAGCTGCCAGCACTGCCTCGTTCTGAGCGGCGCCATCCCGCGCTGGCGCCCGCTACCTGATATGGCAAGCTAGACGCGGTGGCTTTCTCGTAAAGCAGGGTAGCGAGCAGACTATGCAAACCTTTGTCAAAGCCTAAAGGCTGTTTTGAACTTTTTTTCAAGGTGTCAAATACGAAGCAAAAGAGTCCGAAGTTGTGCAAGGTAAAGAGAAAGTTCACAAACGTCTGAAGAAATGTCCGGTACCTAGAGAACCTACATGGAGCAACTGCAAGCTCTTCGGGCCAATAGCACCTTCCGCAATTGAAGACTTCAGCTTCTCCCCCACAAAGTATTACGTTGTACCACTCCATATTCCGAGTGCCCCGATTTACATGCCTGGGTACCAAGTGCCGTCTTACATACTCCAGTCCCTTTCCTTAACACCAACTGGAAATGGTAGAAAAGATCCAGTGATACATCGACAGTTAAGGTATGTAAGGCAGATTAAGAAAAACGGTGCTTCATCTATATCTCACAATCAATATTGACGTCTAATACTGCAATCCCACCAAACATCTCTGCTTCAAGCATCCAAATGTCCCATCCATTAATATCTTCCCACTAGCTACTAGCACAGCAACCTCATCTCACTCCCTTTGTTTCCAAATCTGACATACCTATGTCATCTCACGACGAACCACTTACGTGCCCCTTACTGTGTCTCTCGTGCCTGGAAGCAACGCTGCGCCTCCAGCTTCGGCTACATTAATGTCTTTCACGTTATAGGGTTCCAGTGACGGATCTCTCTGCTATCTCCGCTCCCGTCTACGTAACTACAAGACAAGTGCCGTCAACTTCAAGGTTGTTATCACCGACACATGATGCCCAGGGGGGGGTGTGCATATGTGATCATGCCCGATCCTACACACTCCATATTACTCACTAGAAGACGGAGTAGTCTCAAATCTGCGGACTAGTTGCTCAATCTATCTTCTATCCTATGCTAAGGAACAATTCCAACGCTTATAGTCTCAGCCACGGCAAGTTTGCGCGAATGAATAAGCCAGATATCGACAACTGACTCGAAGTGGTAATACATCATGATACCGCTAATTCAACGAATAAGACCGATATTATCAACTGCCTCAAAGCGGCAATACATGTCGATACCGCTAATTCAGGACAGGCACAACGTCCAGAAAGAAACGGCCAGTAAGCCCAATCCAGACTCATGTTTCTCTCCAACATTGTCTACATTAGGCTTTACCTCCCATTTCTTTTCCGACGATGTGGAATCACTTCTATCGTTGTCCAATACCATTCTCTACATCTTCTCTCATGAATCAACATCAATGATAAGGGAGATAGTGCTGACACAGAACCGCTGAGAGCTTGAAACCCTTTCAAAACATTGATGACTTGTACAAGCTCGGAGCCTATACTTGAACATCCTCACTGCCGAATGGTATTCCCGGAAGAGACTGTAACACCACCCCTGTGTGCCACACTATCGAGATCAACCCCAGCACTTCATCAGCAATAGAAGCTCCGTCCCGACAGGGACGCGTCATCATTAAAATAAGAACACAAGTCTATCGTGATGCATATTTTTGGAGGATACGAGTACGATAGCAGGTTGAAGCTAGTAGCAATGCGCCAGGACCGTCAAACATACCGAGTATTCCATTTATCTAACTCAGCTACCAACTATGAAAACAAACCAAAATCTCTAAAATCTCCCCTGGGCGCGTGTATCTAGACAATACTGTCTATCCTACTCTCTAGAGAGCCCCGCCAATAAACGCCGGTTTAAATGCCGATGCTGCTGCTACTAATGCTTCTACAGCATCGTCTCTAGTCTATTTTAACAACTTGCCAAGTAACCCCCGCTCTCCAGCAGGCTTGACGAAGCCACAAAGCTGAATCCGCCAAACATGTCATCTTTGGATGGACTAGCCGGCCAAAAGTCCCTAGACGAGACTGTAGGGCTCAGCGAAAGCTCCGTGAACTCAGGCGCAAAATTCTCTGCCAATTCAGGATCGGTGATCATGGGCTGGATGGGTGGCTCCATCTCTCGTGCGGCTAGCTTCTTCCAATCAATCTTGCGAAAGAATCTATGCTTCTTCAAAGTCTGCATATCCTTGGGCATCACAGCACCTAGTCGTTTGTTGGGGTCTTTTCTCAGGAGCCGGGTAAGAAGATCTTTGGCATCCAGGCTGAGGTAGTAAGGTAGCACGAGCTTTTGCTTGACAATATTGTCCTGGATCTTGGCATGGTTCCCTCCCCGGAAAGGTGGGTTTCCTGTCATCAAGTCGTACGCGAGAGCCCCAAACGACCACCAGTCCACGGCTTTGCCATATTTCTTCCCCAGAATAACCTCAGGTGCCATGTATTCAACGGTGCCCAAAATGGAGTTGCAGCTGTCTTCGGATTGTTCGACTGCCACCTTTGATAGGCCAAAATCCGTCAGTAAGAGATGGCCCTCTGCGTCGAGGAGGCAATTTTCGGGCTTGAGATCACGGTACACTACACCCAAAGTGTCATGAAGGTGGGAAATGGCCAAAAGCATTTCAGCCATGTAAAAGGCGGCCACCGACTCGGAAAACATCTTCTCAGTGTTAAGATGAGTAAAAAGTTCTCCTCCCTGACCGTATTCCAGAATCAGATAGAGCTTTTCTTGGTCTTGGAAGGCATAAAATAGCTTGACAACAAAAGGGTGCCGGTTCACTGATTCCAAGATCTGCCGCTCCGTCTTGGTCTGCTCAACCAGTTTCTTGTGAACCACTAGAGACGCCTTCTTGAATTGCTTTTGAGCGTAGAGCCTTCCGGTTGCGCGCTGCTTCACCAGTACGACTGTGCCATAAGTTCCTTTACCTAGGCATCGAAGCGGCTCAAAATCTTCCGACGTCATCTTGCGCCTCGGGTTTAACCCACCTTCCAGGGTTCCCATAAAAGATCTCTCGCGCACACTCTCGCTCACGAAGTCGTTCTCCAGATTGACCTCATAACTAGTCGACCCGCCATCAGAAAGCTCACTGCCGGTTTCACTTCGGGCCCCATCTCGGCTCTGGGAGCGGCTTATCTGCCCCAGGCTTGTTGAAGAATTCAGGCGGCTGCCATTTCGAGACATGGATGACGAGCGCGATCCCGGGTCAAGGCTCAAAGGTTCCATTTGCAAACGTAGTTTGGCGATTCCCGAGATTCTTGGCGAAGCCGTGCCGCGCAAAATCGGGCTGCAATTAGCGCTCACAACATCATCGATGCGCGGACGGCCTCGATGAGCTGAAAGGCGTGGGGTGTCAATCCCATTGTCGGAATCCTCATCGCCAGAGGCCACTGGCGTGATCTGGAAACCACGTACTGTGGATAGCGCCTTTGGGGGAGAGCTCGCTTTCTTGATCATGATGACAAGAAATGCGGCTCACCACTGTGTCGAGATTAGAATGTGACAAATTGCGATGGCTAGGAGCTTGTCAACTCCTGTCGCAAATCTCGTGGCTTTCAAAGCGTGCCACGGCGGCGCTCCGGATCTACACGATGCGCGGATTCGGTTTGACGCTGGGATTCAAGAAGGCTCGTAACACGCATCTGGTACCTGAAGAACGATGTGGGCAGATCAGAGGTTTGGTGTATAGGCATTTGCGAGTGTCCTTTTTGTCAAAAGGGAGAGTCTGAAAGAACCAAGGGTATCGTGTTTGTTTCACCAAAAGGTGTAAAGAGGAAGAAGAGAAAGGGAAGCGAAAGAAAACAAGGAAGCAGCGGAAAAGGAAGCCGCCGGCCAAGCCACAGGCTGAATATTTTTAGTAATTGGATCAAAGCAAAAAGTGCATGTGCCGGGCATTTTTTACGGCTTCACTTCAGCAAGCCTCAGCTCACTTCTCACTCGTGCTACTTACTCGCTATAGCCCTTGCAAGCCCTTGAAACCTTCCTTGCTAGGGAGCTGGCCGCGGGGAACGGCGCGCTTTGCTCCAGAATTTACGAATTTACTGGCCGGTTTACAGCACATGTCAGCGCAAAGCAGGGAGCGGCATAGTCCGCTAAACCTCGTTAGGGCAAAGTTAGGCTGCACCCCAATATCAATGCAGGTTGAGGCGAGTGAGAGAAAAATTGAAGACAAAGAAGAAAAAAAGTTCCATTGATCAAAAAGGCCTCTTTCAAAGGTACCTTTGACTGACTGCCTCGCGCCAAGAAAGGTAAAATATGTGGATATTCACCGTGTACTCACTTGTATATCACATGAGGCGCTCAAAGAGCTGAACGAGTGTCACGAGCTGTCATTTTCCCAGGCGACTTACCGGCATAATAATCACAGGGGAACATGCAATCTCAGCATTCCTGCGTCATGGTGTTTTTCCAGGGCTGCAATTGGCCCAGCGACTTGCACATGCCATGCGTGTTTGGCTGGCAGCCCCGGAATGCCAGGCAATTAGCGGCAGCTCCGTCGGTGCACGAGCGAGCTGCCCTACCATCGTCAGATTTGGTGCGGTGCCTGAATCTGCCGCAGACACTCTCCAAATCCTTCGACAAAGCATCCGCGCAGGCTTCTGTTAGGTAGCTCAACTGGTTTAAGCGTCCAAGTCCTACTTCGAATCCATAGACTCTTTCGCTTATCCACTGCAGATGTTGTGTAGGAAAGCAGTAACCCAGCAGTGTCTATCCTGGGTGTCTTATCCTGAACTCACGTTCTCCCAGCGCTTACAGATGCGACCTGCTTTGTTCATGGCCCCATATGCAGTACAACGTGGACAAGCCGACTTGCTGTATCAGTCGACTCGTGGCAAATAAGTACGAGAATATCCTTGAGATGAGTGCATAGTCAAATGCATTTTATAAGCACGGCTAATGGCGGAATTATGGTCCTAATGCATGTACGACGTGGAGACGTGAATAGCCAGCGATTGTCGTATCTCTTGAGCCATTTGAGGTGGTCTAGACCAATTCCACCGTCTACTTGTAAAGCTCCGTTCCTGAATTTTCGAACACTATTGTACTAGGTATTTATTTATCCCAGCTCAACGTAGCGAATTCTATCAAATGATGAAGAGTATCAAAGATTTACATGATATCTCTACCAGCAACATGAGGCCACTCATATACTCCGCCTAGTACTCACCATTTATAGTGGCCCATGAAGACATCAAATGTCTCTCTGTACAAGTTTTGAAATAGTTAGCCCAATTAGAAAGCCGCCAGAGGAATCGCTACTCTAAATTACACCTATTCATATAAAATCATTGATATTTAGGCTCAAATACGATCGTGCTTTTCTGCTCCTGTTGTTTGTTGGACATCAGGTTTAGCTGAAGCGTGCATCGAGACTTTTCTAGGTTACATAATCCAGGCCCACCAATAAACAGTGGTCTCAATTTTCTAGAGCTCCAAAGCTTAGGCAGCCTCAGCCAGATTAAATGCACATGCTGAACGACCTACCTCTCCAAACAACACCAAGAATCGCGCTGCTATCGGGACTGGCGATTGAGTGTCCTTATTCTTAGGCATTGAGCTTTTTCTTCTTTTACTTCTTTCTCAAGAGCTGCTTTAGAACCTAAATTATTACCTCAAGGCACCCCGTTGTTCTGCCACTAAACCATCCACTCGCTCGTCACGAACTTTCATATCCAAACTCCTTGAACCAGCTCGGCAACATGATACATCCATCACGACAGGCATACGTGGAGGAAGCGGAGCAAAGCACGGGCATTGCTCTAGAAGATGTCCCAGAAGATCATGACTACGAAATGAACATGGGCGATGGCGCCCCGCCAGAGAAAGCCTCCGCGATCCTGAACCAATTCAATAGAAAACGACTTGCCGCCACAATTGCCGTCCCGACTGACGATGGACGAGTTCGTGCCAAGCTGCGAGAAATGGGGGAGCCCATCACCCTATTCGGCGAAGGACCAGCTGACCGCCGAGACCGACTACGAGAGCTATTGACGATTCAGGCGGAAATGGCTGGGCTGGAGAGTGGCGACATAACCATGGAAGATGCCGAAGACGCGGAAGAGGAGGAGCAAGAAGAAGAGTTTTATTCGAGAGGAGGTCCCGAGCTGCTACAGGCCCGCATCAACATCGCCGAATTTTCCTTGCCACGGGCAAAACGGAGGACAGCTTTCCAAAAAGTCGAGTCAACAATACCCTTGCGGACGCATGTCAAATTTCGCAAACACATCAAGGACAGATTACAGGCATTTGAGCTGCAGGCAAGTCAGACCGTTGGCGAGAGGCATATAAGCATGACCAGATTCTCGCCGAATGGGGAGCTGATTGCTGTCGGCAACTGGGGTGGTCAAGTGAAACTGGTCGAGACACAAAATCTGACGGAAAAGATGAACTTCCGTGGACACACCAACAAAATCAGCGGTCTCTCATGGTTTCCCGGGGCTACCTTGCCCGAGAGCGGAGTCTCCCCAGATTCAGTCAACCTTGCGTCTGGTGGTGCCGAGGGGTTGGTCCATGTTTGGTCATTAAACAAAGATACCCCTCTATCAACCTTCAAGGGACACTCGCAACGAGTTTGCCGAGTAGAATTTCACCCATCCGGCCGTTATCTAGCATCTGCTTCAGAGGATACCTCATGGCGACTTTGGGATGTCGAGACGAATGCAGAGCTTCTATTACAGGAGGGTCATTCTCGAGGCGTCTATGCCGTCAGCTTCAACACAGATGGCTCCCTACTTGCCAGCGCTGGTCTGGATAGCATTGGCAGGATATGGGATCTACGATCAGGGCGGACCGTGATGATTCTAGATGGACATCTCGATGGACACATCAAACCGATACACGCCTTAGACTGGAGTTCTGATGGACACCGAGTCCTCTCCGGCTCTGCTGATGGATGGATCAAGTGCTGGGATGTCCGCAAAGTGCAGAGGACCGGTGGCGTTGGTGCCCATAACAGTGCTGTCTCCGATATGCGCTGGTACAAAGGCCTGGATGACCCTCTCCTTGGAATCCCACCGGGCCAAGACGAGAAGGGTGCACAGTTGCCCAAGAAGGCCGGCACCTATTTTATCTCCAGTGGTTTTGACCGAAACATCAAGATTTTCTCGGCTGACGACTGGACTTTGGTACAAACGCTAAGTGGACACACTGCTCCAGTTGCCAGCGTGGATTACAGTAACGATGGGCGATGGATTGTAAGTGGAGGACACGACCGCACAGTGAAGCTCTGGGGGAGAAATGACGGTGAGGCGATTTAGTCAAAATCTTGTATTTAATGTTGAGTAGGAATAACTGGCAAGTCGGAATTGATACCCAGGTTGACGAAACAGCTCGTAATTTCCTTGTGGAATGAATCATCAAAGATATGTAAAAGTGAGAGCAGGTTCAGAGCAAGCTCACTTACACTGAATCCTTGCTCTCACTTTACTGGATGGTGCATGGATCGCTGCTTAGTCATGTGACTAACCTGACTGCGGATGTAGATTAGATAAGGAGGACGGACCCAACCACGACCTGCGTAATGTTTGTCGCGCCACCCATCTCTAAACTCCGTCATGATGTACAGCCGACAACGGTCAACAAAGTGAAAAGCAGGCTTATTTTCCCCGACACTGAAGCTCTCCATGAAATATCACAGTCGCTTCTTGCAGTCAATCTCCAACTTGACATAATCGCACTCAGCAATGGCGAGCATCGACCGCTATCGCCCCCCTCGAGAGGGCTATCAACCGCCGAGTCTCCAAGGATCTGCGCGCCATGAGAGGCAGTCTCGGTCGCCTCCTCGCCGTCGCGAAGTGCCTCCAGCTGCGCCTACGCCTCCGCAGCACAGCGCACGTACATCTCCTCCGCGACCGCAAGCCGTATCCAGTCAGCAGACGCCATCGCGCTCTGGGGAGGAAACGCCCTTGGCGCTACCGAATCAGTGGTTTTTCACGACGGACGAGGTTCAAAGCACGCCTTCAATAATCGATGGAATCTCGCCTTCGGAAGAGAGGCTTCGCAGGGCGAAGGGTATCAACTTCATTTATCAAGCTGGCGTGATGCTTGATCTGCCACAGATTACACTATGGGTGGCCGGCGTTTTCTTTCACAGATTCTACATGCGCTTTAGCATGGTTCAAGAGAAGGGGGGCATCCACCACTACGTATGAGTGTTTCCCTCCTTTGTTCCGCACTTGCCTCGCATTTGCGACGGCTTCTTTCACTACTTTGGGATGCTTCAAGTTTTTTATGTTCGTTGCTAATCTTTTAAACATAGAACATCGCCGCGACTTCCTTGTTTCTGGCAAACAAGACCGAAGAGAACTGCAGGAAGACCAAGGAAATCATCATTGCCGTTGCTCGAGTAGCCCAGAAAAACACCAAATTGATAATTGACGAGCAGAGCAAAGAATACTGGCGATGGAGAGATAGCATCCTGACGTATGAAGAAGTCATGCTGGAGCAACTCGCATTCGACCTGATGATCGATAACCCTTATCGTCATCTTTTTGAACTCCTAGGACAACTGGAAGTTATTCACAACAAGCACCTGCGGCAGGCAGCTTGGGCATTCTGCAACGACGCGTGCTTAACGGCCCTGCCACTCTTGATTGAGGCGAGAGATGTCGCCATCAGCTCCATCTATTTTGCCTGCGCACACACAAATCAGCAAATCGATGACGTAAACGGTGAAGGCTGGTGGAAGTTCCTGAAAGGGAGCGAGGACTGCTGTACAAAGGCCATTGAGGCGATGCGTCAGTTTTACACGGAGAATCCGCTTAGAAAGCAGAACCCATCACTGCCATCGCCGGCATTCCATCTTGAAAACACACGGAGGCGGAACGATGCTTTGAATGATACACAATCATCCAACGCTGGAACGCCGATGGAACTCGACCGAGAGAGTCATAGTCCAGGTCCCAAGGTGAATGGGGGGACAGACCGACACTCGGAAGCAAGGGACAGAGAGCACGAAGGCTCCTTAAAGGCACCAGGCGATGGTGAATACGCACCACGATCCCCTTCAAAGAGAAAAGACGCAGAGGCCGATCTGTCTGCGGAGAGTGAAAGGGCCGAAAAACGGGCCAGACTCTCGGAAGATGAGGGTGAGCTGGTTGAAGACTAGGTTCCAGAGCAGACCTGTTGAATCATTCAACCCTGCTATGAGGGGGGTTTCGGCGTTGGTAATGTTTTACTAATCATGTTTTTCCTTTTCTGCAATGGCACGATGGAACGGTCTCGGCAAAGATGTGACGTTTGTCATTTAGCTTCAGGTAATGCTACGAGCTTAGGGATGGCGTTGGGGACTGTTTCTTATCAAAGCTACTCGCATCGACCCGGCTTGTTGGATAGAGACTGCCGCATAGGCACAATGGTTTAAATGCGACTTGATTGAGCTAGGAGATGGGGTGTGATTTTATGTATTTTTGCTATTCTATATTCGCAGGAGCTGGACAGAGCTTGATATCCCAAACATGCAAACTGATCAAAGACTCATCTGACCTTGGCCGTGATACAGTGCAATATGAGTCTCGTTTAGAATGAGAAGTGGCTAGTCATTGCCCTATGTCTACTCCGTCTCTAGACATCTTTCAATTTGGATCACGGCATGTCGGGTACCTGACTCAGGGCTAGCTAGGTACCTGCTGCTCTCAGGAAATATCCATGATGACATGCGAATGACTTTTCAGCCTTGATCAGCCGTTGCCTGTTGCAACGAGGCTGTTTTCATCTGAACATCAAACGAGCTCGCCCAATTGGCACCACCCATTCTGCCACTCTGAGCGCTCTGACCGCCCCCCAAGCGTGCCAGCTGCCTACAACTATAAAGTCCTTCAACGCCCGCCACCTTTTTCTTTTTTCCTCTTTTCTTCTTCAGCTCTCTTTGCCTTTTGGCTTAGATCAAGTGTAGTGTCTGTTCTTTTCAGTTTAATCTCTGAAACGTCTCCAAGCGAGACCTTCTTGATTACTCTTATTTTTGGTTCACTGGCGGGGTTTCCCTCTGTGCTTGCGCATGGGTTCTCTGCCTACTGTGTCCCTGGTATTACACTGTTTCTGGGTGATGCGATTGTTTGGTGGTGGCTTTTCATTGCTTCTTGTTGGCTTGTCTGACGAGGTGAAGAAGAGTTGTAATTTGAAAAGTAATTGAGTCCTGTGATATGGCTGTACGATATTCCAAGCTTCAAGTTCCTCTGCGCGTTGAAGGTCCACGCTAGACTTGGATACATGTATCTGTTCCCCTATGCCACGCCTTACATCAGGGATAAATATGAATATTTAGCTTCTCTTTTGAATCTCAACATCGCCCTTTTTTTTTCATCACTCCTTAAAGCGAGAAACGCGAGATCGAAGCTGTCGAGCTTCTGTGACGCTCCCCTCCAAATTTCCCAAAAACTTCCCAGAAACAGCCTAGCGCGGCGTAGAGCTACCGTCTGGCGCTCGCATCAAAAAAGATCACCATAAACTTGCATCCAAACCAATTCTTGCCCCAAACCACCGCCAGCCAAAAAGCCTCTATACCTCCACGGCGACCACCTCCTGTGCATTCGAGAGCTTTGATCTGGTGCTCTCTTCACACAATGGCTACTTTGGGAGGCTACCTCAACAGTGAGCACCGCGCCCCTCGTTTCAACCCCGCAGACCAACTCACGATGTGATTTTGACTGACGTTTTTGATGTGCTGCAGAAAAGGTGCTGATTGTGACGGCGGACTCGCGAATCCTGGTTGGAGAGCTGGCAGCTTGTGATCAGTCGACAAATCTAGTATGTGCTTGTGCTTTTCCACTCTGGGAGCCTCGTCTGGGAGCTTCTTGTCCAGGACAAACGCTAACAGTCACGCGCTGCAGGTCCTCAAAAATGCCGTGGAGAGAATCATCCGAACGCCCGACGACCCAGAGCCTTCCGCCGAGGTCCCTTTAGGCCTATATCTCGTCCGAGGCGACAATGTCTGCTCGGTTGGCCTGGTCGACGAAACGCTGGACGAAAGCATCGACTGGACACAGGTGAAGGGCACAGTAATAGGAGGCATCAAACACATTTAGAAGTCCGCTGCTGAGAGCGCCGTCGCTCGATATACCAAAGGCTGTGATTTCGAAAGAGAAGAGGCGAACCAATTTAGATTTTTGTTTCTTTGAGTATGGGTCATTGGGGCACTTGGAGTTATGATACACGCATTAAGCCAGCCTTTTTGCAAAGGGTACGAATTTATATGGATCATCTATTTTAATACTATTTCTTTCTTAAGCTTTATTTGCTGACACGGCTCTTTGCACAAAGTATCAACAAGAGAATTGTTCTATCCAAAAACACGCTGCATCCAGATCTCCTTGAAGATGCTTTCTCCGGGAGTTTTGATCACCCGCCTGATTCTGTTTCCCTTGCGAACACTCAACCAGCCCATGGTATCTCCTGGGACCTCATCCAAAGTAACCAAGTGGGGGTCGGCCTCGGGGTCTTCTGATAGATCCACGGCAGCCTCACCGGGCTTGGATCTGACACGCTTGTCGAGGATGTAGGATCCTGCAGTCCATTGTCCAATCGTCTCAACTCGGAGATCCTCAGGCTTTGCAGGCACTCCCCATCGCGGGTCGTCGTGTGTCAGCATGTACCAGACGGTGAAGGGATCGTGCAGTGCCAATTCGGGCTCTCTGCCATCTCCCTCCATTGAGTCAATCTTGTTAAAGGCTCCGTTGATGAAGTGAGCGGCCCATCGAGCGAGGGGGCTGCCAGCATCAACAAGAGGCTTGACTGCCTCATTGAAGTAGTTCTTGTTGATGAAGTGGAGGTTTGTGATGTCTAGGGGGCACAAGGTGACAGTGAGCTGGCGAGAGAGCTTCGCGGGGTACGGCTTGATGCCGGTAATGTAGCTAGGGATAGGCGGCAATGTCGACGCAGGGTTGGGCGATGTAAGGGCATAGACGAGAGCCGCAGCAAGAGGATCGGCATATGTGTTGAATTCCGCCGTGGGAGTGACGTTGCCGGGAACCTCGACGGCTCCGCCCATGACAACCAGCTCCTTGACCCTAAGGAATGTCTCGGGGTCCTCAGTAGCTGCCAGTGCAACGTTTGTGAGGGGGCCGACAGCGAGAATGCTGATGGTGTCTGGAGGGTTCTCTCTGAGAAGACGCAGCATCTCCTTGTAAGCAGGCTCTTTGGAAGCTGTGAAGCGAGGGTAAGAAGGACTGTGATCAGTGTTGTCATCCTTGTCAAACAAGGCCTTCCAAGTATCAGCGGGCTTCAGATCCTCATGGATATCATGAACATTGTGCAGTCCATCAGCGCCGTCTATATATGATTCGTCTCAGTCAGCAAAATGAACTATTGCGCTCAGGAAGCAAGCACATACGGAAGTAGTCAGCAGCCAAGACAGGGTCGGCCAAGGAGTGTTCAGCTCCTGCAGCCACAATGGTCTTGTGGGCTTTCAAAGTCTCATAGCCCTCGGGACGACCTTGAGACTTCCTCCACTCAAACTCCTTCTCCAAGACGTGGTACAGAGCAGCCACGTTGCGAAGACAGCTGGAGGTCGAAATTAGCTAGGGCAAATACGCAGATACTTGTGTGCCAGGATGGAGACATACCATTCCAGAGGAACATTACCGTATGTGACAGAAATCATGGCCAGCTCAAGCTCTTCGGGGGAGGCACTAAGAGCCAGGAGGAGGGCCATGACATCGTCGACACCTGGGTCGGTGTCCAGAATAATCTTGCATTTTGGAGCCATCTTTTCTTTTTGAACCTTGACGATATATGATTAGAGTATGTTCAGGGTAATGTGACTCAATTGCACAAAAGACGTATAGGATCTTGCACTCACAATAGTTGAAACAAGTAAATATATCTAGAGCAATTAAGCCAGATTCGAGCAGACAGAGTAACAGCGGGGTCTTCTAAGAAAAAGGCACAGCAAAGAAGAGAACTCCTCGATGCTTTAAGATCGGGGCGGGCCTATTTAATAATGAAATCCTCCCAACGAGATCAAAATAGCCAAAACTTGACACTTTTGAACAACCAGGACCTATGCCAAGACGAAGAAGAGCCAAAAACCAAAGGTTGGCGGGGTTTGCACTTTTTCGCTGAGATAATCCTCATAGCACACCGGAGTTTTCCCCGTTTTGGCAGCTCCCAGCGGCCGGCGACGGCCGAAGAACGGCCAAAAATGTGACGCTTGTGTGCCGAATGCTGGACCTTCGATCTGCGTCTGACACCTTGATATGCAGATTCGTATTTTTCGTATCTCGTCTGGGCTCTTTCTTGGGGTTGCTGTTGGTTAATGTTGGGGAAACTGTGTTGCCTTTTGCGGGTTATGCATGTTTCCCTTTCTGGGCTGGGGTTGCGATTTTGACAGAAACCTTAATGGGTGCTTCTTTGACGTGTGAGATGAGTCAATTGTCATTAGATAAAAGTCGAGCTCAGCCTGTTTAGACGGGTTTGTGATTTTGTCAAACAATTGAGTAACTGCCCACCTACCTACCTATCGAACCGTCGCATAAAGTTGCTTGCTTGTAGTATTCAGTTGCCCCATGTATGGTTTTGCAGTTACAGGGTAGGTTCATCCAATTGTCGGGGAATCAGCCGCAATGGCCATGAACGCAGTGTCACCAATAGCGAGCAAAGACTTCGATGCTCTAAACGCAGCAGCCCAGGAAACGTGGCGGGCGTGGAATGCGGCTGCATGAGCTCGTCTAGCGCCCGGGAGGCTCTGTGCCACAGTCCGAGTGTTGCTGCAAGTTCGTCCAGTCTGTTGTATGTACTTTGCATTGCATTCAGACTATCGAGTGTTGGTGCTACGGATGATCTCAACCCACTCGAGAATTACTAGAGGGTGCCATCGGATGTGAATTGCCGCCAACAGCGCATTCTATGTGCATACGGTGGCTCGATATAGACAAGTCTGGCCGTCTTAAAACGCGGTTGACACACCCCTAGGCGGTTGCAAATTCCACAGCTGCCAGCTAGTAGTGGCGTGAATGATGGATTGCCAGCTGCTGTTACAAGTCCATAGTCGGCAAGCTGGTACCGATTACAACCTATACCCATGGAACATAAAACAAGCCGTGTCTAGGGCAAATTGAAGGAAAAAGCAAAGATTGGCTTTGCTTGGCCTTTGCACCGCCTCGCCCCGACGCCAATACGACGCGAGGGAGCAAAGGAAAAAAATGTGCGACATATGAGTCAGTCGCGTGGGCATGCAAC